AGCGCAATCAATGCGTTGTAACATATGTGTTAGTAGAAGCTTGAACACATAAACGATAATTCCAAAAGACGGATGACCTTTAAGTAGAAAAATCAACAATTTTTTCTTCTGTTTCTGTTAATTTATTTTACGATATTAGAAATTATTTGAAATCTGAAAAGTACTCTCGTGTAAAAGTACTCGTGCAATAAATACTTTTCCGATTTTAAATAATAATCCTATATAAAAAAGGGCATTTGGACGGAGAAGTGCGCGTTTTGGAGCCGAATGCATCGCATCTATTGTTGCCTCTTTTCCGCGTTGCCGATTGGTTGGTTGGTTGATCGAGCCGAATCGAATCGGTAAGATCGAAAAAGTAAATAATGAAAAGCGATTTTGAGACAGGTCGTCGTATATGTAGAGAAAATTAAAAACGTAACTAAAGTCACGTGACAAGAAAGAGTAGAAAAACAACACGTGAAAATAACGTGACTGTAATTTATATTNTATATAACATTAAATAATACATATTATACATATAATTTATTATATATTTATAATATTATACTTTATATTGTATTATATGTATTATATACATACTACAGTAATGTCATTGACCTCCGCTGTGCGACTTTGGCGGGGTCACTGACCTCGGCCGCGCGGCTTTGGTGGGGGGGGTCACTGACCTAGTCCGCGCGCCCGCTGCGGTGTCAATGACCTCGGTCGCGCGACTGCGGTGGAGTCACTGACCTCGGCCGCGCGACCGCGGCAGTGTTACTGACTTCGGTCACGTGATTACGGTATATATATATATATATATACATATATGCGTATGTGTGTGTATTATATATAGATATAGAATATATATTTCATATAATATATATAATATTCTCTTTTTTACCCTTTTCTTTGTCACGTGACTTTAGTCACGTGTTGTTTTTCCACTTTTCTCTCTCACTATTTTTTGAGTTTGATTTTCATGCGTTATTTCTGACATTTTTCATATGTGTATTATATGGTTTATAAGACGTATATACTATCTGTCATCGCGGCGACAGGTTGTGTTTACTGACAACACGTTAAATAAAAATAACAATAGCGTGCGCGTAGCGCGCGCCTGTGTTGTGCTAGTCTAATAAAAAATTTCTTTCTCTGTTTTGATCGTAAATCTGCAGAGAAACTACATTGTATAAAGCTCTAGAAAAGCTTTTGAGCAAACAAGTTATCCGATTCGGCTACACAAACCACGAAAAACAAATAAGAAAACGAACAGAAACTGTTGAGAGGAGGTACAGGAAAGGAAGACGTTTGCCCACGCTTACCTCCTCTTTTAAGGTTCTTGCAGTATCTCGGAAGTATGAAATCTAATTTAACCGCTGGTCCGATAACGCGACTCCTCTTTCGCTTGAAATTCCCTTCTGTGGATCCTTCCGCGTAAATCGAACTGATGTAAGAAGTTCGATAACTTTAGAACACAAGCAAATTTTCAGAGCCATTTGGGACACGGATTTGAGTGGACACATGTATTGTCGGAGAAATATTGAAAAGTTCAATTTCAAACAGATTTTTATACAAATTATGCAACTTTTCTTCCATAAAAATAACTTTTCATATTTTCGCAACAAATTTAAAGAAACTTGACGTTATTTTGTCGCTCTTAGAATAAGGTTTTTAATCAAAGAGAATGAAATTAGAGAATTAAATTTAAAAAAAAAATCTCGAACTGTGTACGAAGTTAAGAATGTTGCGTTCTTGGTGATTGCGAATCGAAGGAAAAAAAAGAGAAAAGGCTCCGGGCGCGCACCGACAAAAGTTTTCGCTATTCCGGATACAGGGAAGTTTCACCGTATTCGCGCATCCGGCATCATAAATCTTTGACTCTTCCCGCCTTCTGGTGACCAAGTCACATTCGAGCCCTTCGTCCATCCGAAGAATAAATTTACATTACTCTCGCATCTTTTTGTTAACTCGTCTTTCTCATCTCATTTGAGAGTTTTCTCCGGTAAGAAATTCTCGAGGTAATAATAAGAAAAGATTTATTTGTCTATTCGGTTCGATGGACAAAGGCTGAGCGACTTGTTTGTCAGGTTCACTGGCAATGATAGTTCAGCCATCTGGACGCGTTCTCTTTCTTTAAAAAAAAAAAAAAAACTCGCGCTGTTGCGCGCGTTACGTTTTCAAAAATAAATGTTCTCGCAAATTCGAGATATCCAATTTTCACACGTTTTGTTTTCCACCTCTCAAGACCAAGAAAACTTCAACAACAAACATACGATAATTTTTCTTATCCCGCCCGGCAGTGACAAAAGAAACTGGCTATTATCGTCCCATTCATTTATAATCTAAGCTACAGCAAGAGAATCATAATTCTTTCACATTTCTCCCTTCGGCTCGCCAATTCATCGCTATTCCGGCGTCCGGTTTTTATAGATTATTGATGATCGAGGCGTTTCGACGCACAAAAGACCGGCATAATAACACAATTAGCGGCGCGTTGACAAATTGAATCAATCCCGAGTGTATTCTTCTCGGCGCGCCTCGATATCTCGCCCTCTTTCCCCCTTCCTATAAATATTTCATGCTCGTTGTCCTCCTCACATCCGTGGAAAATCGAATGTCGACTGATCTCTTTTTATGCGTGGCCTTAGCTGTATGCCGTTCTCAAAAATTTTTCTGCGGCGAAAATGATGAAAAACCGATAATCTCTCATCAATCAGTATTAGAATCGCGTAGTTTCAAAAAAAAAATACACCGATTTTGCGCGAGCTTATGAATTTAACACGTCGTCGGACCTCCGGTGTGCGTGAAAATGTGCGATATAAAAATTACAGATTTATATTCCATAATCCGACAATTGATGAGAAAAGGGAAAACCTTTTTGCGTTGAAGTAATTTCGCAAATACGAGAGCTACATACTTCTAACAAAAAAAAAACCTTCATTTTTTTACATTATATATTTGATTGAGCAGTAATGCGAGAAGTTAATGCGAATTTGAAAGAAATAATCATCGGTGGAGCTTTGTCTCTCCAGATTATTTCTCTCGTTGTGTTTCGCCGCTTGTTACGCAAACGACGCAAACGACGTTGCGCGCGACAATAAAAAGCGGTCCAGAATACGAAACTGCCGGGCGTAATTTGCGCGCATCCGACGATGTCACACAGAAACTCTTAACTTCCGTCCATATCGGAAACGGCGTGAAAACGGCAAACGCTATTAGAGAGGCGATTGTGTGTACAGCCACGGATTGGTTGCGATGCAATTACGTACGGCAGAGTGGGTGGTCGGGCGAAGGTGTTAAATTCTCTGGATGTGTTCGGGGAGGGGGGGCGGAGGGGGGAGAGGGGTGCGAGAGATAGAGAACGAGAGAGAGTCGAGCCCATTCTGGGCGGTAGCCGACACAAATCCGATCGTATTTTCATCGACGCCAAATTGGCAATATCCTCGCCGGTGACGATTCCTGAATTATGCATCAGCCTCGGGGACAGTCGCTTCGAAGTTTATCCATCCCGCTTGTTTCCACCGAGAAGCCCGACCCGCTCGGTTCTCTTTCACGTGGAGAGTTATTCTCCCTTCCTCTACCTCCTCCTACTCGCGCCCTCACCCTCTACTCTCGCGTCCTTCTCCTCTTCCCGTCTCCGCAACCTCTCTCGTCGAAACGTGGCACGTCTAGTCTCTCTCGCCGAATTGCGCTCCTTCCCCTTTTCGGGTTCCTACCCTTCGTATCCTTTCTCGGCTAGAACGTCACTTATTGGTCGAGCGAGAGAGGAAAAAGAGACGATATCTACGAATCCGACCATCACGGTGAACGCCCACTATAATATCTTGATGATGTCGTGATGTTTTGTACTGAAGTAAAAATCTGTCACGAGAAGAACAAGTGCCGAGAATGTCTTTCTGCGAGAAGTAGGTCTTTTGTTAAAAAAGTAATTTTGATCGATTTTATCGGTTAATATCAGAAAGCGTGATAGGCGAAAAAGCCGGGATATTATTAACACAGGCATTCGAAAAGTGAACCCACGTGATAAAAGCATTCGCGTTACAGTTGAACTTCAGTAATTTCGAGCGGAAACGGGACCGATTCCCAAAAAGTCAAAATTATTGTCCTTCTCTTCCAGTTGGCGATCGACTGCGGCGAGAAACGAAAGATACAATATATATTCCTCTTTCTCTTAGACGCATTTGTCCCCTCTCTGAGAGTGGGGACAAATGCGCATCCTACGAGTTGCGCACTCAAGAATATCAGAAAATCGATAGTGGAGGAGATACTGTGGTCCGAGGAGAAGTCAAAATTGTGATGCTCGAAATTACTTGCAGTTTCACTGTATCTCACAACGGGGGAAACTGTCGCGAGATTCTCCAGAAATACAAGGTCGCTTGTTGAAAGTGATTTAGACTGTCGGGAAGACTATGGTGATTTAAAAAAAAAAAAGGCATATACACTCGAAAATTACTTCAGCTCTTAAGAAAACGTAAGTCTGAAAAATAAACAATGGGAAGAAGCGTCCATTCTCCAAGAAGGTTGATCCTCTTGAGGATTGTCCTTTTCCCAATAGCAAGGCGGGATAAGAGAGTCTTCGCGCTGTACGGCCTGTTTTCGTTCTAAACATCTGTTGTATATAATTGTAAATATTGTTACAAAAGTGCTTTTGATCTTGTGACTGCGCTCTACCCACAGGCACGCGTACATCTGCACGTGGCGGCATAACGTCCGAGATAAAAGTGGTATAGCTACTTATTGTGTACACAGACAGATTCGACACATGAAATCGAAACTGATTCCAGTAGAAATCGATTTTCAACATTTTCTATTATTCGGAAGCAAAGATGGAGATATAAATCGTTATCGAACAGAGGCACAGAAACTGTAGAACAGGATTAAAATCTGAATCCTAGGAAGATACAAGCAATTCTTCCGAATTAGTTCAGTAAGTAAAGAAAATCAAGGTAAGTGATAGATAAGATTTATTGTATAACATGATGCGCCGAAAATACAAATGTGTATTTTATTTTTTGATACAAAACTCTTTTAAATGGCAAGAAATAAAATTATATACTAAGTTCAGTATCCAAAAAATTTAGTTATATTTTAAAGAACACGCGCAAGCAATCAGTTGTTTTAATCGCGAGATCTATTCAAATTTAGACTTGAACGTTTCTTTAAAAAAAAAAAAAAAATTAATAATGCATATCAGATGGCGCATGACCAACAAAATCTATTCAACATATCGAGACAAATATTTAATTGTTTGTAATCAAATTTAAAAAATGTCTATTATTAAATATATATTTTGCATATTATTTATAGAATTTCATCTTACAATATGAGACGACAATTTCATATCTTTCATATCAATATCTTTTGACTTTAATATTATCTCGCGTAATATTACAAACTTTTAGAATAAATAATATCTGTTAGTCATGCGACAAGTAACACGCATTGATAGCTGGCTTGTTCATCTTGCATCAAATTTACACGATCAATAGTGTGTATTTTTTTTTTTCAGGGAAAAAATCACCGACAAGCGTAACATTAATAGCCGTGTAATAACACTATTGGCCGCGAACGGAAGATGAACGAGTCGGCATTACATTGTTATAATATATATCAATCCAGGAAATTGAACCTCTAATTTCATAGATCTCGCGATGCTATTTGCTTCGTATATTCTTTTCTTAAATCGAATCAATATTACTTCAGTCGAAAAAAAAAAAAGAAAATTAGTGCAGATATTCGTCTGATCTCTCTTTCTCACGTCGCATTTCTATTTTCTTTACCCACGCTTTCTGCTCAAGAGACGACCACCGCTTATTTTATTCTACTTCTTTCTTTTGTCTATGATCACACAAGGTGATTTTTTTTTCCAAATCGTACGCTATCTTTTTCGGGGGACAATAATGTACGCCGGTAGGACACGGATACTCCTTTTTTTTCAACAAACACGTTCCTATCGAAGGTTTCTTACTAGTAACTCTAATATCATAATGCGGACACGAGCCGGGGTGTAATTTGCTTGGTGGCGGACACGCGCAAAGAACAAGTGGTTCGCACGGTGGTTTCGGCAACGGTGGCGGTGCACAGATTTGTCTATTCTGCGTTTTTGTCCGCCTCGAAGTCTCCACGCGAGAATTGTTCTCTTTTTTTGTATATTCCGTCATTATCGGCGCGTACAAATTGGGTTTCACAAACTTTGGCGGGGGACACGTGATCTTCGCGTACTCCATTTTTGGCGGCGGAATCGTCTGAGGCATGTCGCACTTGCCTCTTCCGAAGCAAGTTTTCCTACATACAAAATCCGCGTTCTTCCGCTCCGTTTTCGTCTTCTCTTTAACTTCCGTTTTTTTGTTTTTTTCGTCCGAATGTTGACTCTTTTCGCACTTGACTTTCTCCCGACGACACCTGTCGCTCTTTTCTTCCAAGGATTCGCCACGCTTCTCCTCAGTTTTGTAGATTTCCTTCGTCTCTTTGCACGACTTGTCGCGCTCGACACGACAGAGCGATCTGTGAAATTCTCGCCACCAAACTTTGCAAGGAGAATACAGGTAATGTGGACCGTAGCGAGTTAACATCTCGCTCTGTTCTGTGTTATTGAATACGATCGGGAATGTAGTTCGCAAAATGTTAAAAAAAGCGAACGTCTGTTGTGCGTTTCAAGTATTTTGATTTCAGTTTCGACAAGCTGAGAAAGACGGAGATAGCCACGCTGATATAAAAAAAATAGTACCTTGAGACTTGTTGCTGAGAGTACAAAATTCTCTTGCGCGAATCGAACACGAGTTAAATATTTTTGTGGAAAATATGGAAATTCGTCGATTGATTTCCGATTGTTTCGCTTCAAGAACAAGTTTCAAACGATCCGATACTCTAACGGGATTTCTGAGTAAAGTTTTTAGGGCTGCATCTTGAATTGCCTAGGATTTAAGAGACGCAAAAGTTTTCTTGGATTCGCGTATTTTGCCACTAACTGCCTGTTCATTTTCACGTGGAAAAAAATAAGTTTTCACAAAAATCATTTCTATATTTTTTCAAATTCTACTTCTCTTTGCAAGTTGATTTTTTTAATTCAATCACGTGCAAGATGTCATATTTGTTATATTTGTAATTTGTTTAAGATTCAAGACTTACCGTATTGCAAGAAAATCTGAGAGGAAATGTCCCATTTGTTCTCTCTTTGAAAATCTGTAATGAGAAACAACATAAAATTGAGACATTTTGTTTAATTAAAAGATTAAAACTATCTTTTTATTTATTATATGTAATAATCAAAATTTATAAAATTAGAAAAATATCAGAATAAACGTACAATCAGTCATTCTGTAAACAATATATTTATATATTTGTTATTTATAATATTTTTTGTGATATATATTATAAATATACAATATTAAATATAGTACTTTCTATTATTGCTGTTCACAAAATCAAGAGAAATTTACTAAAATCATACAAGAATTCGATACTAACATTTTCTCCAAATAATTTATTTAGAAATAAACATGTACTTTGTCACACAGAAGCTTATTAACAAAAATCATCACAATGTGTTTTAAATTTGCAATGTTCAATAAGTGCAAACAAGATTTTTTCTCGAGAAACATTTTTTCGTAACTTGTCAGTGAATTAAATTCGTCAGTCTTTTTTCTTTTCACTTGTCTTTTTGTTATTTTCAGAACAAGATGAAGCTTTCTTTGCAGGTGAACATTCTTCTCTTTTTTTAGTTTCTATGCAAGCAGACTTCGCGGTCACTTTCTTCTCGTCTTCAGAACAAGCTGGAGCCTTTTTTACAGGCGAACATTCTTTTTTCTGAATTTTCTCAGTTTCTGAACATTCAAATTTCTTGATTTCTTCTTTCTTAGGTTTTGAGCAATCGGGCTTCTCTGCTGTTATTTTTTCTTTCTTTAATTGTTCTTCCTTTTTGCATTCTGACCGCGACTCCTTCTGTTTGCTCAATGTATATTCATTTTTCGTGCACTTTTTTTCATGTTTTATGCGCGGTCTATCTTCCACAGGCTTTTTATGTAAATCTTTTGTTGTTGTGCAATCACTTTTTACTTTCTTACTTTTATGACAATCATCTATTTGATCAGATGGACCGATCTTTTGATGAGAAATTTTCTTTTTTTGTTCTTTGCAAGTCATTTTTTTCCTCTCGGAACAATCTACGCCATTCTTGACGCCACGTGCTTTCTGCTCCTTGCATGTCATCTTTTTTCTTTTCGAGCAATCTACACCATTTTTGACGCGTTCCTCTCGCTCTTTGCACGTCATTTTTTTTCTTTTCGAGCAATCCACGCCACTAGGCGCTATTGTCTTCTTCCGACATTGTCTCTGCGCATCTCTTTTCTCACAAATATCCGTATCCGCTTTTTTGCTTTTTTTCTTTCGTCGGGCGCAAAACTCTTCTATTTTTTTTCGGATACCAAATCTCGAATCGCTCAACGCAAAGAAATTTATCGGAGAATCGTTCTGGCGAATCGCGTCGGGAATCGGAATCACCTCGTTCACCGTAAAGATATTATTCTCCTCGCAATTCGAATCCGTTGCAGAATACGATCGAGTTCTAACACGCAAGTCTATTATTTTGAAGAATCGTTGCTGAATCCAATTTTTTTCAAAGATATCGCTCGTTGTCTTGATGTTGCGACGATTGAACGTAACTGCCTTGTTACTGATCCAATTGCGAATCGCGGTAGTGACATAATTATTTTGCCAGATATTTGTGTTGCCGCGGCTTATCTCGCTCGGGATTCTCGCGTGAGGACGTATTCTGCAACACACGTTGTCCGCCTGAAGACAGACGGAGAGACGATTTCAGGATCAGAGTTCTCCTCTAGGCTGTCGAGAAATCTACATATGCTGTCTTCAGCGTGGATTATCCGCAGTATAAAAATTCCGCAGTAAACCTCTTTAGAAAATAAAAATGACTTTTTTGGAGGGAATATCGATGTGTTTACGTATCTCTTGTTATAATTATTCGTTCTCGTTTAGATGGCGTCCAAGAAATTGGTGCCAAAACGTAAAGTTGAATTGTTGTAAGACTTTTAGCTCGCGTGGAATTGAAATGTTTCCGATGACTCGCGATATATTTTTCGATAACAAAGAAAGTCGATATATCGAATACGCGGACGCGAGCGTATACAAAGTCTATAATTTTTTGTCTGTTGCGCCATAATGAATATTTAAATAAAATATTGTCATTTAAGTTATCTTTGCCAAAATTCGACATTGAGTATAATGTAAATAAATTAATACCGTTACATCATCTTCGTAAGCAGGAGTCTTCGTAGGAATAGTATTTTTTGTTGTCTTTTTTGCATTATTAATTACTGTGGAAGGAGAGAATTTATTGACGGTCGTCTCGTTCTGCAGTCCAAAGACATCAGTACGTGCATTATCTTTTACAAGTGTGGGAATTTGATTAGGTCTTCCAATAGCGCCATTTAGAGAAATCTGCGTGGTTATGTTTAATTACACTTGATAAATGTCTTTCCTATGTATATATCGAAATAATAAAACTTTCTCTAGTTAATACCTTTTTACGGACAATGTGACGTGAACAAAGAGATGTTACAATTGCTTTTGCGGTTTGAAAAAACATACTTAAGTATGTGTCGGATTAACTTGAAAATTTTTCGACGCTTTTATCAAGCGTCTGACATGTGATGATGCAGCACACGGCGTTTGTTACAAAACAAAAATAGATTCTTTTACCTTCAATTGTTTATAGATATATACATTATAGTTGCGTTTTTTACGTATTTGCGCTATTGTTTCGCTATTTTATTTCGCTCATTTTTCTCACGATGTAAAAAAAATATTTAACTTCTTCAATTTAACAGTTGCGTATCTATAATATTGACTCTTTTTTTTTGTATAAAACTAATGTACGTAGTTCTAAAAGTGTGTATATGTCATATATAAATAAATATATTGTGTTTGAAACTATATCTATGTGAACCAAACGTTTAATTTATAAAATCCTTACATACTGTAAAGAGAATGAACACAAACCGAGCGTGACATCACGTACATGAACACGGTTTTCATTTGCGTGCGCGCCTCCACCATTGCTCTCGGTGCTTAAAAGAAATTCTACTTATCGACAGTAAGGTGGATGTATCACGGACTCAAACCGAGTGAGAGTAGATATAGCACGGACTCTAACTGTGGTGCATTTGTACCGTCTGCGCTTGAAAGTGGATCTCGATCCGTAGTTGCAAGATCCACCGAAAGTGGATCTCGGCGCTAAAACCAGCCGCTCTCATGTTTCTCTCTGACACCATATAAATGTAAATGGCTGCAGTATCCACTTCCAAAAAGTGAATTGTATTAAAAGTGTGAGATGTAGGCCTGTTCTACAATACAGTCGTAAGCTGTAAGTCGTAAGAAATTGACCAATCACAATCGATTATTCTTCTGTGATTTATCTGTGATTGGTCAATTTCTTACGACTTACAGCTTACGACTGTATTGTAGAACAGGCCTAAGGCCTGGTTTATGCGGGCAATAACTGTTAACTTATGCCGGAACTGGTAAATTTTAACTATAGGATTTTAATGCTTCTGTTCATACAAAATTGCCGGATGCGTATAAACAGAAGTATTGAAATCCTATAGTTAAACTCTACCAGTTCCGGCATAAGTTAATAGTTATTGCCCGCATAAACCAGGCCTAAATAAGTACAACAAACCTTGTGCTCGCGTCATATGTTGTAAAGCTGCCTTTATGTACATGCGGCGTAACTTTCGTCAGCCAATCAAATCGTCTTAGTGGATTTGCGTATGATAGCTACAACGATTTGATTGGCTTACGCAATTTACGCCGCGTGTAAAGGCAGCCTAAAGCCCTATTTACATGACACGCAGACACAGGTCGCAGATCTCGCGAAATTGACCAATCATCGATCAAATCAGTCCATTGACTTTGAGCTTATTGTCTGTGATTGGGCTTCTCCGGTAAATCTATTGGAAATATGAAAGAGATATGACAAGCAAGCAGAACAAGCTGCTTTGTATCGAATCGAACGTAATTGGTTGTTACTTTTAGAACCAACAAATCAACGTCGAATGTTGACAAGACGACATCTCAGTAATTGTTCGGCTGAACATGGCCAATGTTTCAAGTTGCGAGATTGCGCGGCCAAATTAAAGCAAGATGGCGGATTGACACAATGTAATTTTTAACGTGGAATGTATCATTTTAACTGTCAGTTTACTCTAGAGGTGGATCACGGTAAATCAAATTTCGGTGAACAAAAGGATCGCAATTGAGTGAATATTCCGTTGCGAACGACTGGTGATTCGATTTCGTTCAAATAACATTCTGTTTGCAACATCATTGTCGACTTCGACAGTCGGTACGAGACACAAACATGAGCTTATTTGTTTAATTTTATCGAATAATTTTTCTACCGATAATTTGTTACTGTTATATGACAAAACATGTCTACACCAAACAAAACACGAGGTATGTGAAAAATCTTTGTAAAGTAATAGACAGTTATGATTTCACATTAATGGGATATTTTTAATGCAAGTTATCTAATTTTAATTGAATATCATTAAATTATATATTGCAGTTGCTTTGAAACAGAATTTTTCTGTTTAGAATATTTTTTTATGTTATTTTATATAGTAAAAACTTATATATGTTATATATTTTGCTTGCATGTATATATGTGTGTGTATGTATATCATATATACAATAAATTTAACAAAATATATAAAAAAAAGTATTTTTGTTAGTTTATTTTATTTATTTATTTTTTTTTTTTTGTTATTCTATTTTATATTCTGCTGTTATTTTATGATGTATTAAAACTAACATCTTATTTTAAATATTTAATATATAAAAATATGTATAGTTTTGCTACTCCATTTCATTATTGTGTTAAATGTTGACTTCTATTTTAATTTTGCATATTTTGCCTAACTTTTTAGAGAAGTTTAACTAAGTAAATTTTCTGAATATTTCAGGTCCAGGACGGCCACCAAAGTTAAAAAATGCTTGTGCTTGGTGTGGAGAAACAAAACAACCCTTGAGGTATGTTCTTCCCACACAGCACGGTAAAAAGGAATTTTGTTCTGAAACATGTTTGTCTGAATCTCACAAAACTTATGTACGAGGTGCGTGTGTACAATGTGAAAATGTGATAAAAAGTACACCTGTTAAATTGGAACAGAAAGATGGTCCAACAAAAGACTTTTGTTCTACGTTTTGTTTAAATACATATCAAAAGAAAGAAGGTCAAATGGATACAAAGAAAAGTAAGATTTCATAAAAATTTACATAAAAAAGCACTTAGCTGTTATAATAGTTGCATTGATTTTTCAGATAACAGGGATCAGGGATCACCAGTACCATCTCCTGCGTCATCCGGATTAGCAAGTAACAATTACGTACCATCAACCACACAATCATATACAAGTACAAATACTCAGACAGTTATATCTCAACCATCGTCAACATCTGCCGCAGCATTTCACTATGAAAGTTACTCGACTTTTGATTGGGACCTTTATTTAAGAGAAACAAACAGTACGGCAGCGCCGATTGAGTGTTTCAAACAGGTATAATATAGTTTGATTTATTCTTACAAATGTTTTATTCCAAAATTGACAGTCTCATATCAAAATTGGTATTAACAATTAATAAAGTGTTTTATCTTCTTTAACATGGAAGGATTAGAATATGTAGAATATGTATAGACCATACAGGCTATATGTAAATTTGTTTCACTAGCTATTTATAGTTAAATCTTTTATATAATAATAATTATTATTTAAGATTGTCTTGAGTTAAATTGTTGTCTGGATCATTTCATTGGCTAAAGCATCTGAACTTAAGACAATCTTTATTATGAGACATTATATCAGTCTCACATTCTCACTTAATCTTAACTGCTCTCCTAACTGTTTTGTAAACTTAACCTAATCTTTTATAAGTGCACTAATTAAGTAATTATATCGCCCATTTGTGTATACAGCTAGTAGGTTTTGCACCATACTTAAACATATGTCCAGGATCAATAAAAAATGTTAGACAAAGAAACTCTGAAAGAAATGCTTTCTGATTTCTCTAACGTTCTATATTCTATTATCCAAAATTCTTGAATTACATATAGTCACGTAACACGCATTATATGCAAGATAAAGACAATGATCTCATTTTTTTCTGCTCTCTCTTGTTTACTTGATCAAAAATAAAGATATTGCATATACTGTGTTAGTTGTACCTGTGTTATATTCATATAATCGGATCTTATTTTTAAATTCGTCTTAAAGTTATCTCAAATATAACATTGTATGAATACGATCCATACGATTCACTACAAACAACACAGCCTAAAGCTATTTGCGTGTGTGGGTGTATGTGAAGGAGAAGAGGAGGAGGCTCATGTTATATTTGATTTTTCAGCAAGAAATTCCACCAGGAAATGAGTTTAAAATCAATATGAAACTGGAAGCTTTAGACCCACGAAACGTAACATCAACTTGCATTGCTACTGTGGTGGGTGTTCTCGGACCTCGTTTGAGATTAAGATTAGATGGCTCCGATAATAAAAACGATTTCTGGCGATTAGTTGACAGTAACGAGATAAATCCTATCGGTTATTGCGAGAAAAACGGTGGAATGCTTCAACCGCCGTTGGGTTTTCGGATGAATGCTTCTAGCTGGCCAATGTTCCTTCTAAAAACGTTGAATGGTGCCGAAATGGCACCAATAAAGATATTTAAACCCGAACCAAAGACACCACGTTGTAATATGTTTGAAGTCGGACACAAGTTAGAAGCAATCGATAAAAAGAATCCTCAACTTATTTGCACCGCAACCGTTGGCGCGGTTAAAGATGATATGATACATATTACATTTGATGGTTGGCGTGGTGCTTTTGATTACTGGTGCCGATACGATTCTCGGGACATATTTCCAGCTGGTTGGTGCTTCAAAAGTGGACACCCGTTGCAACCGCCGAGAGTAAAAAGTATGAATGAAAAATACTTTTCTAATTATTTGAATTTGTTATTTCGGAAACTATAAGAATATAACTGTTGCACATCGACTTGTATTATACAGTTATCTCATAATATCGTCAAAAAATCAATATTGTCATGATTTTATCTTATAAGCAGGATGGCAAATGGTTTAGATTAATTTTTGTCTCGTGAATTTTTTTATCATGTTAAAATCAACTTAATTATATTTTATTCTAGCGACAGGTCCGAATAGATTCAAGGCGAGGGCTTCTAGCAATGTTTTGTTAGTAATGGCAGCTCCCCTTTCTTCAGGCAACACTAGCAGAGAACCAGCAGTAGCATTAGTGAGCCCGGCAGGTTCTAGCGCACCACCACAGCCAGCGACAGAACCTGACACTAGTACAGCCAATAGCAAACCACACACACTTGAAAATAGTCAGTAAATTAATAATTTTAAATCAAACGTTTTAAATTTAAGATATCTTTTATACGAAATTAATGAGAAATATATTATTAATAAGTGTTAAACACAATTGAGTGTTGTATGTTGCAGTTACGCTTTATGTTAATCATACTTGCGTTTGTGGACCATATTTTGATCCTCGCAAAGTGAAAGCCATGCCGTCACAGTTTGGAACTGGTCCCGTATTAAACGTTGCAAGAGACATGTTCCAAGCATTTTTGATGGCAGCTTTGTTACCCAGACAAATGTTAAGTTTGATGAGACGTGGTGAAGGTGAACTTATATCTCTAATACTGGAAAGTAAGCCTACTTCTGTTCGATTACCTATTTTTCTGGAAGAGGAAGATTTCTACACGTACATTAGGCGGCAACTCGAGGATCTTCGCGCATGTGAACATATGATAGTCAGGAGAAAAGAGGCTTGCACTAAGCCTGCTTGTAGCAAGTGTCCTAGTCCCGAACAGTCCATTAATAATGAGGAAGCAAGTACTGTAATAGGAGAAAAAAGAAAGTGGTCGCAGAATCAAAATTTAACATCTAGCACACAGCAACAACAACATGTGCAACAGATTGTTGTACAAAGTATAAACAATTCTCCATCTTCCGTACCTGCAAAACAACCTCGCAAGTCTGTTCCTGGTAAATATTTTCTTGTCAAAAATTTTGTATATAAGTTATAAATATAGTTTAATGAGTAAAAGAAAGGAAGTAGACATGATGTCAAAGATATTATTTAGTTTTTTTTTTAACAGTTTTTTCTTAGTGTTTTTATCATATTTCATAAGACAAAAAATAATATGGTACGACAAATAGCCTCCGAAATTTTTCAGTATTAAGATTATTGCTGTGTCACGTAGAAAAGTTTAAGAATATCAACAATTTAATATTTCTATTTATAGAACTAAATAGAATATTGATTAATGTTAAATAAAACTTTCTTCCACAAAAAATAGAATATGAGCAAACAAAAATAATATATTTGCATTTAGAACTTGAAGCAGCCACATCCACTACTCAAACCGAAACTTCTGCAAGCCGCATACCTTCTACCGAACCAGCGGAATGGACTATTGAAGATGTAATACATTACATTGCTATTACAGATCCAGCATTAGGTCAACATGCAGATTTGTTCAGAAAACATGTGAGTTAAATATAAATTATATTTAAATACATATATGTAAAAATATTAAATATATGTATATATGTATGTTTAAATCACATACTAACTTTTAGGAAATTGATGGCAAAGCTCTACTTCTTCTCAATAGCGACATGATGATGAAATATATGGGACTGAAACTCGGACCAGCGCTCAAGATTTGCAATTTGGTGAATCGTATCAAAGGTAGAAGGCATATGCTTATGTGAATGAAGTTTTCAAATGTGAATATCTACATAGTGATCTGACTTTATGCATTTTTTTAAAGTTAATCAAGATTATGTTTTCATCGATGATAGACATACAATTTGAGTTATTACAAATACTGTGAATATATATACTAACAATATTCTCAGACTTATATATATGTATATGTAATTTTCCCTCCCTTCCTAGACATGAGGATGCGTTCTCATTGGACGCATAAAGCGCTTTAAGTGTCAGTTTGTCTTTATTGCTTTTTAAATGTAAAGAATCAAAGATAGACTGACGCTCAAAGCGCGTGAAGCGAACGCACTTTATATATTATGGCTGTTTTTCTTCAAACTCTTGCACATTCAACACACAAATAAAATTAAAGGCAGGCTCGTTACATAACGCATGTGCGCGCGCGAGCACACACGCACAATATAAATATAAAATGTATATAGAAAATATGCATATATACATATTGTGAAATAAAACAAAAGAAATCTGCATTTCCTGGAATCAAGACGAAAACTTAATTTCAGCAGACTGAAGTTACTCGCATTGTTAAAATATGTCTTAATAATGTCTAATAGAGGGCGTTGTCTGGAATAGATAATAACGCCTGTCTGAAAAACGTCAGAAATAGATCTTATCGCAGACATCTTTTATGATTGTATCCTATATAAAAATTTCGTCAAATAGGATCTTTGCGAAATAATCACGATATTATTTGCTCTTTTTGTGAGAGACGTTTAGATATCTCATACAATCATACACTTATAGTTCTCTTATTTTATTCTTGTTATTTTTATAGCTGTACAGTAATAAAAATAAATAATATTGCTGTTTAACGTTCGAAGAGTAGTCGTAAATTAAATACGTGCCTTCACAGAATTGATAAAAATGAAGTTTATGTTCCTTATATATAATAATTATGTCTAATTAATACTATACTCTGCGTTACATACACACACACGTGTGTGTGTGTGTGTGTATATATATTATACATACATATAGAATAAATTAAATACATGAAACATATCACAATAGTTTGTCGTGTAAAAAGAGACACAGGATTGTGTGTATTATAACAATTTCATATTACAAAATGTGTTCGTTTCACAAAGTACAAAAGGATGATTATTCCAACAAATAAAATGTGATTTTAAATATTTACACATAAATATCTTTTCATATATATATAACACATTCGTGAGTAGTGATTTAAATACCACTTTTTCTTTTATATGTGACAGAGCTTTTTATTGCTTTTAATAAAGCAATAGTTTTAGTTAGGAAATGCGCTATTTTCTTATATTATGATGTCACACATAACTTTGAAAAAGAATCTTACATTGTTATTACAATGTTTGACATTAAATGTGAGAAGAAAACTGTTATCGTGTCTAGAATGTTTAAAACACTTTATGAAATGTTTGGAATGTTTAAGTCTGATTTCCATTTTTTAACTTTTCTTCATTTTTTTCGGAGTTTTTGAGCATTTCCATGTAAAAAAATAGTGGCTCTTATTTAAATTTTTAACAACACAATAATACTAAATAAACAATTAAGAGAGAACACGGCGAGAATAGTTCCAATTATCTTGAATTTTTGTTATCTGTAATTTCGTTATTCTCATTCATCTCTTTAGACTCCGATTTCTTCAAATCTATATCTGGATATTCATCCTCAATGTACCTAATCGAATCATGATCTATATTATTGTCGCCTGTATTTTCGCACGTATCTATCAACCATCCTTGATTACTGTCTATCTCCCTAGAAACAACAAGAAAAAGTTCCTTCTCCTTGCTGTCTATCTGGTCCTTTAGATATATGAGTAAGTCGTTGTCCTATAAGATGCAACATAGTTAATAATTACTTAAATTTAATATATTAAAGTATATGTATATATTACTCAACAAGAATCCAAATAATTTATATGCCATCAAATTTGTGTAATAAAAATTTATATTTTTGATTTTTGTATTCTGTTGAAGTTTAAGGCTTAGATCTGCATTGTAGAAACTTCTATTTGAATTCTTGATCTTCATGTGTTCTCTGTTGAAAAGTTTATTGTACTGTAATCACCTTTCCTATTAATTGCGGCGAGTCCAATTTTGAATCAAGATTGTAAAAGGCACCATGAATCTTTTTCAGAGCAATCCAGTGACGCCGTTTCAAGGGAAGTAACACAAAACCTAACTTATATTCAGTTGGAACATTAAGTATAAAACCTTCTATGTTATCTAAGCGAAGACACTTAGGATCCCTAAAATAAAAATAAAACTTCACAAATAATATTTCAATTTAAACATAATTATCTAAATAAACAAACATAAAAGTTACTTTGTTTCTACATGTGCGAATATTGTATACAGACCTACGTTTATCAAACCATACAGCTTCTCGCCCTCTTCTTTGGAGAGCAGCCATGATAACATTAATATCATAGTTGCCAAGTCCAAGTAATGACTTATGAGGATTGATCCACACATCAGGACTTAAACTATAACAGATTTGATCCAATTCTTGCTTGCTAAAATCACGTTCTTGAAATAAGTTGTTGAGTGCATGTAACGCACAGAGTTCCTTCACCTACAATTCCATTTGCAACTGTCAAAACATGCATTAAACATATTGATTTTACAAAAAGAAAACAGTTTGTTTTTTTCATAGTAAGGCGAATGCTATAGATGTTTAACTTGTTGTGTCAATAAATTTCTCTGTGTTGTCTATCTCATGATAACGTTTCTGCTCAATACGTGTAATGTGTAGCAATAATACAGAAATGACGTGTAATAACATTTAAATTACTTGTCGCTCATGATATATAGATCCGGTCATATCAGTAGCTGCGCTCGCAACCATTGTAAGCTACATAATTCTCTTCACCTTGTGTGTATAAAAAAAGATTAATTCGCTGGCGCTTCTTTTTCGTGAGAATCTTTTAAAAAACACACACACACAGATCTAGCATATGATCAACACCGATTAACAACAACGATAATTCGCGCAATTACGTTGGTTTATAACAAACAAATCTCATTTGCCGAATACGCAGTATCAATTGGACATTCGAATTTATGAAGACGCGACAATTTCAAGACTGCAGTATGCAAAAATACGCAGTGAAAATCTCAATTGACACGGCCACACCGCGCCAAAGATGTGATAAATTACCAACAATTAACGTATCAACGAAAATTGACATTTGACAACTGTATCTTCACATAGCAGACAACAGGAACTGATGGAAAGAAGTTAGGCTGTGTTCCGATATTCATTGCCAATACTACACATCTATACTTCGGATCACATGTACTATAGATTTTTAGTACTGGCGGTGAAAGTCAGAACTCAGCCTTTATTGAATGCACATTGAGAATTCGCAAAAGACTGGCCAATCGTATTGGTTGATCAGATGGATTGACCAAATAGAAATGATGCTTTAGGCCTATGTCACACTACGGATTGGGATTGAGATTGGATTGAAATTTGACCAATCAGAAGAAAGAAAACCAATCCTAAGTTTGGTAATCTTCGCTCTGATTGGCCCCAATTGCAATCCAATCTCAATCCTAATCCGTAGTGTGACATAGGCTTTAGATTGCTCGCGGTTGTGCTTTTAGATGTACTCAATGGGTGCGTTCAGACAACTCAACAGTTGCACAATAGTTGAGAAATAATCACTTCTGATTGGATCATACTTTTGGAACCGAAGCAGATTTTGAAGAATAGTCCTATCATAAGTGATGATCTCTCAACCGTTGAGTTGTCTGAACGCACCCAATGACTGCGATGTGGGAGGATTTTTAGGGAATATGCGCGAAACAATACCCGCAAGCTGGAATCGCAAAATCCCCAGAATTGACCAATCGGCTTGCTCCATTGTGGATCCGGTCTTGCGGACAAGAATGTGCGTGTGGCGTGATTGTCAAGCGACCGCGCGCAATCGTACAAGTTTCCGGTGTGCTTGTTGTAACAAGGTCTGCCGTATGTACCTATGGTTTGAGTAATTGTCACAGTTGCTGCGTGTTTTTATGTGAAATATGCCACGGCTCTGCGCGGCCTAACAACAAGACAAGATTTCAACAATTCGCCATACGCATCATATTACTCCGGTACCGATTGTCTGACGTTACTCATTTGTAACCGCCAAAACTTCTACATAAACAGAAACGCCATCTTGTGCGTTGATGTTGATATTTTCGTAAATTCGGCAACGCTCGCTGTTTGACTTTTAACTTGTAAACTTGTTTCACGCGTTAAATAGCACGCGTGAATCGATGCGCGCCGTTCCGGAGATTTTGTTCAAGTTTTTGAAACTTTTTTTTCCACTTCGGACGTGATATCACATTGTCAGGAAAGAATGTTTGTGTCACGCTACTCGCCAATGTGGTTAAACTTGTGCAGCGAAGCATTTACTGGACACTTTACTGGATATTTTCCGATATTTTCTTGTTTCTTTTTCCTTTGATTTTATTTGGTTTAAATAACTCATTACAGATTCAATTACAGACTAAATATAGAAAACTACAAGAACCATGTTTTATGCACATTTTGTGTTGGCCAAAAAAGGGCCTCTGGCTCGTATATGGTTGGCTGCTCATTGGGATAAGAAATTGACCAAGGCACATGTATTTGAAACCAACATAGAGAAGTCAGTAGATGGTATACTACAACCAAAGGTAAATATTGTGTTAAACTAAGAGATTTGATTTCTGTTATTTAATTTTTTAGTTTACTTGTCAATTTCCAAAACTATTGTAATTATTGAGTTGAAGTGTATCATTTTGTTATAATTACTTTTACTGTTGTAGGTTAAAATGGCTCTAAGAACATCTGGGCATTTGTTGTTGGGAGTGGTTAGAATATATTCAAGGAAAGCCAAATATTTACTGGCTGACTGCAATGAGGCTTTTGTAAAGATCAAAATGGCCTTTAGGCCTGGCATGGTAGATCTGCCAGAAGAACATAGAGAAGCAGCTGTAACAGCTATCACATTACCAGAAGTATTTCACGACTTTGATACTGCTATGCCAGAGCTTAAGTAAGAGCAAAAAAAAACTTTATAAATTTGCCAGCATTAGAATATTTTGATTTAATTTTGATATCTATCTTTTAAACTTTGTTACTCAGGGATGTTGATATTGAGGCTCAGTTTAGCTTGAATCAATCTAGAGCAGAAGAAATAACTATGAGAGAGGACTATGGTAGTCTGTCTTTAGTTACACATGATCAAGGTTTTGGTGATATGAGTTTTGATGCAGAACCACCAGAATTACTACGACATGGCAGTGGCATGGAGCCATCATTAGATCAAGTATTTATAATATTCCAGTTTTTAATAGATTTATTTCCTTTATATAACATAAACATCAAACTCTCCAACATATTTTTACAATCTAAGTTAATCATTTAATATTCTGTGCGTTTTTAGAGTCATATGTTGTTCAGTGATGGTCCTGGTATAGAAACCGCACTAGAACAGAAAGAGAAAGAGCCAGTAGCGGGAACATCTTCTACAGCCCAACCTATGGACATTGACACACCTATTAGAGATGATGGTTTTGGTGGTCATCTTGGTCAAGATATCATATGTATGATAAACGTTATTGTCTTCTTTTTGTAATCATGTTCGATTGCAATTAGAAATAATTTGTAATTTTCATAAAATTTTAGCGGGTGGCCTCTTTGAAGGCGGCTTGTTCGATGAAGCTCCAATGGGCGAAGTACCTGTACCTGAAGTTAGTTCAATAACTGAACAACAGGAAGCAGGTGCGGCTCCAGGTGCTGCTGCTTCCGTGCACGATGAATCTGATGAAGATATGGGCGATCATTTTGGTGGTCCACCATCTCCAATGGGAGGCATGAGGTATTCATTTATTTGCTCTCTAGAATAGAGAGCATATCTATTAGATTCAAATCTCTCTAGAATTTCAGATTTTAACAATCAAACTATCAATATGTGATTACTAATTTATTGGATGCGTAGCTCTGATGGCTCTAGACCGGCTACACCAGCTGCAACGGGAGAAGAAATTGAGGGAAGAATAAGCGTTGCCAGTCGACGCTTTACACCAGCTCCGCCAGTTATACCGGAGGAACACGCCATTGATAATGTTGAGGAACAACCACCTTTACAGGATCAAACCACATTACTACACGATGAGGAAGAAAGCTTTGCGTTAGCGCCGATTGACGCGTCAGCTTTAAAAGGCAAATGCTTTATATTTATTACAATATTGATGAATATTTTTTTTTTTAGCAACTACTAGAGAATCTATCGTTTGTCTTGCAGGTTTCACAAAAGCTAAGCGCAAGCGTAAGCTCATCGTCGATGAGGTGAAAAATATTTCTGGCGAAGAAATGAAGGCACAACTGTCCGACACCAGCGATATTGTCACGACATTGGACTTGGCACCACCTACAAAAAGATTAATGCACTGGAAGGAAACGGGCGGAGTCGAGAAGCTGTTTGCTCTGCCAGGAAGACCTATACCAGCTCGCGCTCTATTTAAGGTAATACTATATCCTTATTATTGAAACTATCGCAACTTTTTTCATAAAGTTAATATATTTTTTATAAACATTATTGCAACAGAATTATCAGAGACATCTGACAAGCAAGTCTTATGATCACGAAGACTTTGGACGACTTGGAACTGAGGATGATAACATGTCTTTGGAACAAATGAGAGATGCACCAGAAGGAGAAGCATCGACTTTAGAACAAAGCGTTCTCAGTAAACGTACGGGACGAAAACGAAAAGCGGCGCAGGACGATGAGGTTCACGATAATGCGTCGAAGGTATAAGAATGAAATTCTTTCTGGAAAAAAAAAAACAAGTAATTTTAATAACACAATGTGTATCAACGTAAATGTTATTATATTTTGTAGAAAGCACCTCCTGCGGAAATCAGCCAGCCTCCTGCTGAGGCGGTGGAAATACCGAGCATGATTACCCAACATAGTCTCCCTGGAGAAACGCCCATGCAACCCGATGTACCTTTGCCAGCGGAATCATCGGTTTCCGATATGAGCAGTATTGTGCCTTCTGCGGAATCGTCAGAAGTACCGCCGACCATCGAAGCGCCTCTGGCGAGTTCGGAAATGGCGCAAATTGCGCCAGCTGAAGTTAGCTCGATACTCGGCACGCACGAGGAACCACAAGTATCTCCCGCGCAGACACAAGAACCCGTCAGCGTTGCGCAAACGTCCGATATGCCGCAGATGGAAAACATGGGTTACGATCAAGTAAGTTGGCACGTATATTCGCCGTACAATATTCTCGATCGAAATTATGCTGCCGTTATCAAAAACTTATCGATATCATGTGATTCAAACAGACACAACCACAAGTTTCATACATGGGTTATGACGAGCATCATCCGCCAGCGCATACACCTGGTGCAATTTCTGAAAGAGGACCTGCCACACCGTGGAATCATGAAGATTACGAGTTTCCACCTTCCGTAGGACCGGTAATTTAGTTTATTTAAAAATATTTGTATATCAAACACATGTAAATGGCACGAGAATAATTTTTTCTAAACAAAATATTGATTGCGTCTAACATTTATTATATTTTTCAGCAAGAGGAACAACAGATAGACGAGACATATGAACAGTTCGAGGAACGCGTTCTTAACAAAAGAGCAGCGCATATGTATCATGTTATTAAGAACAAACTAGATACCAAAGATAAATTAACGCTATCAGAAATGGCTTACAAAAATAATCGCAAACAGGTAAGTAGAAAGCGACACAAACAATTTATTTTGGTGAAAAAATTTTCTTGTTCAATCAAATAATTCAACTTTTTATTGCAGGTCGCGCAGAAATTTTACACATTGTTGGTTCTAAAGAAGTTCCAAGTATTAGAAATCACCCAACAAATGTCATATGCTGAGATCGTAGTCACAAAAGGACCAAAATTCGAGAACCCGTCATTGTAAAGGTATTTTTTCTAGTTTGAGTATTGGAATATGAGAGAAGAGAAAAGTATTCGCATTCATCTCTGCAGAAAAAAAAATATCAAAATAACATTCAGATTTTGTTTCATAAGTTTAAATAAAAACATCAAAGCAGCGTTTTTCAACTGGCGTGCCGCGAAAGTTTGAGAAAAGATCAAAAAAAAGCAATAAAAATTTAAAAAATAAGCGAACAAATTGAGTAAGAGGTCAAGTAAACTAAAAAAATATTTATCAAAATTATCTAGTTATATTGTGATTGTTCTACTTTTTACTTAACAACAATATCTATCGCCGTAATAACCTGCTCACACAAGTTTAAAAGTTTTTGAAACATTGAAACTTCTCATCTTATGCTTTTCATTTATTGTGACTCGAGTTAGCTGAAGTAACTCTCTCAGTAACTTTGTGTAACAAATAAAAAACATTTATTCGCACAAACTCACAACAAAAGAAGAGTTAGTAAAAAGTTGACTTCACTGACAGACAACGATACAAATCTAATAAAAAGTACAAATGATATCAGAAGTCAGCTTGCATCGACTTGAGTGACTAAACAGAAAGCATCCATCATAGATCGAATCGCTATTTTATTCAAAAATATTCTTTTTATTATTTCTTTGAGAAAGAAAGAGATAGAATGTGTGCGTGTGTGCGTGTGTGTGTATAGAAACGGAGAATGAAAAAGAAACTGATGGTGTGCCTTGATATAATTAGATCTTGTTTAGTCTGCTGCGAGTTGAAAAACGCTGCGTACGAATTCGTTAAAAGAATTCATTAATTTTATACACTGAATACTATATAAGAATATTTCACTATTTCATTATAGATTCCTGGTTTAGGAAGATGCACATTGAACACTGTGTAATTTATATTGATCACATTTGCATTTCTTCATACATACGCATACATAACACACACACATACATGCTGCAGACTACTTTTTTAATTTAGATGAAAAATTATTTACTTTCTGAATTTTTTTGTTGTTTAAAACTCGGTCATCAATCATAAATCCGAACAGGGTTTTGTAAATAGACTTAGTAAATAGTTGAAGAATATTTTACAACATTGCATTATAACAACTTCTTAAGTCTATTAAGTCTATATTACAAGAAGGTCCAAACAACTGCTATTGACAATGCTATTGACATAGGATAAACACAATTTTGATATAAATTCCTTTTTATAGATCGGAAAGTATTTAACAATATGATATTTTAATGTAAGTCATATGTATTTCTAGTTATTAATTTATGTGCGATCCAAGAAAATAATTAAATTTATTTATAGTACTTATAAATAAATACTATTTACTTGTGAAACAGTTATTAATGGAAGAATTACTTTGCCGCGAATAATAATTTTATGTATTATTTTTCTACCGTCAGAAAGTACGATTTTTATTTATTTTTTTCCATGGGAGAAGAGTTAACATACAAAGAAACTGAATAGTTACTATTTAATCACGAAACACAACAAAAGTAAACTGAATGGTAGAAATTTGCAATTGTTTTACAATACTTTACTTACGACTAAAATTGATATTGATTTTATTCGAAATACTTTTATGAAAAATATTTTGTTCTTTAATAAAATAGTCTAAAGAAGAAAACAAATGGAGAACAAAATCGATTTTGTTACGCATAATCTAAAACATATTTTAATTATGGTGCTAGCTATTTGCTGAAAGAAAATAGTGTGTACTATAATCTATCTTATAGGAATTTATTACTGGTGTGATCAAAATAATATTCCTTTTTTGAATGTTATAATCACTGTTGAACAATGCTTCTATTAGTCAAAATAAATATTATTGCAGTAACACACCAATAATAAATTTCTGAAAAGAATTTCAGAGAAATAATCTAATGATTTGTTGTTGTGTTTGTGAGACTGTCTCTTATGTGGTAAACGAGCATATTATATGAAAAAAAAAAACAATATATTTTAACAAACTAATCATTTGTTATTAAAAAACAATTTTACAACAAAGTCGTAAGTTTGCATTGTAAATATAGAAATAAAGGTAGCAATTAAGATATAAGAAGCAGTTTATAAATATGTGTCATCAAACTTGAAAAAAAAATAGCATAATAGAGAGAGCAAACATATTGTAAATAAGATTTATTTATTGCATCACTTTTCACTCATAAAAACTAGATTATCGTTTATAGACGATCTTAGACATGAGTTGATTATCGTTTATAAACGATTATATAATATATATATATATATATATGTATATGTATATATATATGTGTGTGTGTGTGCATATGTATTAAATATACATATCATAATACTTAAAACTGTTATTCCGTTATTTTCCATTAATAAACTGTTGTATTAACTATATAATAACATATAAAATAATTTCTTATGTAAGTTACTGAAACGTTTCCTTGTAAGTTGTCTTTTATAATGTGCGCGATATTAAAAAAACAAGGTTTGAAGCTTACTTTAATATTGTGTGAAATTTATTTTATTAATTACTACATGTGACATTTTTGTCGTATAAAACATTTACATACACACGTTACATATTTTCTTGAATCATTATGATTGAGAATTTAAATATGTATCATATTATTTGAAACACATTTAGTATTATATTTTTTGAATAGTACAGACACGAATAACTTTTATTATATAATGTGATCCATCACTGTAAATATATATATTGTGGTTTAATATGTCAATTAAAAAATCTCTTCAAACATAAAACTTATTCATATAAACCAAATGTAAGTTTAACGTGTCCTGTTTTTTAAAATGACAAAACTCCTGCAAAAACTCCTGTAAAGAAGTTATTACTTTTGTCCCTTGAGCGAAAGTAACAAGTTTTATACGAATTTGTGATTACCACGATATCGTATCAAAGTGTGAAACTTCACGTAAATGTCATTATTATATTTACATGATCTGAATCGAGTTTAGTGATACTTTTTTTGACATGTTAACGAAAACATAAGGCACATTATATTATGAAAAAACTTTATTTCAAATTAGTTTTGAGTAGCAGTGTTTTATGCGTACACAGAATTAAACTGCGTGACATACATGCGGTACTTGAGAACTATAAACAATATACTATATACTAAAGCACTAATTAAATTATGTAACCGTCGTTTATTATTTCGTAAATTTGCGTGTGTGCCAGATTTTCAAATTCTTGTTTTTTTTTTTTTAAATGCATCATATTTTTTTGTAACAGATACAAATACACTTAATGATATTACTCCTCCAATTCGCCAGCTTCCATGGCGTCCTGATAAGATTTGGTTTTCGACGGCTCGGGATCCAATTTAATCATATCGTCAATTCGAAGAATAGTTATAGCCGCTTCGGTGGCAAACTTCAAAGATTTGATCTTTGAAATAGCCGGTTCTAACACACCGGCTTTTTTGTTGTCTCGTATAGTACCTGCGATTAAATCGAGTCCCACCCTGCACAAACATAAGAATAAATATTTCAATTGATCACAATAACTTGTTAATTAACAAATTACGCAAAAATGAAGAAACAAAGTTACCATTTCAGATCGACGAGATCCGGTTTTGTTATGCTAGAATTGTGATAAGCCCGGAGCTTGGCGACAAGATCGATCGCGTCTTGCGCTGCGTTTACCGCTAACGTTTTCGGTATAATTAATAAAGATCGTGCAAATTCCGCTATAGCCAGTTGTTCTCGAGAACTCTGTATAATAGAGAAATATATAAATATTTATGTCAACATACGAGAAGCTAAGAGAAAAAATGTAAAATTCAATGAGACCAGTGATGTTGCGAAGTTTTCCAGATATATAGAAAGCGCAGCTTCAACGCAACCTCCTCCCGCGACGACGCTTTTGCTTTCGAGAACTCTTTTGACAACGCACAACGCATCGTGTATCGAGCGTTCCATCTCATCGCAGTAATAGTCACTTGGTCCACGTAAAATAATAGAACTTGCCGTACGTGCCTTTGGGCTTGAAGTTGAAAGAAAAAGTAATAAACATATGTGTAATTGATACAAAGGAATATAAAGTCGAATTTAAGTCAATTTCTCTGTCTATCGATAATATATTAAATATTACCCTTTGATAAGAATAAGCTCGTCGTCACATATCATTTCTTGTACCACCTCAGCTGCTTCTCCTAAGAAACTAGCGTCAAAACTCTCCTCCCCTTCCATATTTGTCAGTGAAGTCAGAAATTGCGCACCTGTAGCTTTGGCAATTCTCTTCAGATCGGCTTTCTTGCATCTGCGTACTGCCATAGCCTTAGCTTCTACAAAATACTTCAAACGAAAGAAATTTACGTATTGCATCCGCTTCTAAAAACAAAATGTGCCAAAACCGATTATCAAACACACTGTACCTTCAAGCTCAAATCGTCAATACCACCGGACAAAAGAATAACATTGGCCCCGGTAGCGAGAATTTTCTGAATGCGTTCCTTCGTTATATCTGCTTCGCGTTGACGTATTGCTTCAAGTTTTTCGGGATCGGTAATAAGTATTTCAACGCCCAACTTCATCTTCGCTTTCTGCAATGAAAAATCGAGACACGCGATCTTTGCGTTCGCTATTCTTTTCGGCATCGCTTGGGAGGCGACGGTGCAATTCAAAGCATATCCCTGAACCGAAACCGATTCTCGAACGCTCTTTCCGTGAGCTTTCAGGACGTTGACTGCTTTGATTGGATACAAAAAGCCACCTTTGCCATCGGAGATCTTTACCGCATTAGCGGCGTCGACTACCATGTTACCAAAGAAAGTATCGTCCCTAATTTTTAGTCATGGAAAATATTTTACAATAATTGCTTAACGGCTAATTGTTGCGAGAGACAGATATAAAGATAAAAATAATATATAGATATAAATTAATTTTTGAATAACATCAAAAGAGGATACGCTCCGATAATTTTGCTAGACATGGCCGTCTTTGCGACGTTGACCAAACAATCTCTTCCAAGTTCATCCACACTGACGGTCAAATGTTCTTGAATATATTTGCACGCCTCTCTGGAAAAATTGATTTTATAAGAAATAATTGTATAATATGACATGTCCTTCTTTGTCAAATTTGTATAAAGTTTGCATAAAGTTTTTTATATATAACAAGTTGACAATAGAGTGAAATTTATTTAATATACAAGGATAAACATTTACTTGCAAGCAAGCCTATAGCCACTGATGACTGAAGTTGGGTGAATCTTTTGTTTCACAAGTTCATCTGCATTTTTTAAAAGCTCAGCTGCCACTATTACCTAACAAGTATGTATAAAATATAATCAGAAAAACTATAATTGTTATCATCTTTTTTAAATATACAAATAGGAATAAAAAACACTTACAACAGAAGTGGTGCCATCTCCAACTTCTTCATCTTGTAACTGAGCTAGTTCAACTAAAACTCGTGCAGCTGGATGTTCCACTTCTAACAGACGTAAGATTGTCGCACCATCATTGGTAACAGTAACATCCTGCAGAATTTGTATTTAGTACTATTTTTTTCTTTCAAATCTCTTTTTTTAATTATATAAAATACAAGAATACATACACCAATATCATCAACCAGCATTTTGTCTAAACTAACTGGACCTAAAGAACTTTTAAGTATGTTGGAAACAGCACAAGCAGCCATAACTAAAAAAAAAAGATATTACTACACCTCAGTGTAAATGCATAATATTAAACATTTATATTTATTATATAATAATAATTACTATTACTACGCATAAAATAATAAATTACTATTGTTGTTTATTGTGACAATATCATGTGAGTTTGATTTTACACATAAGGAATAAAATAGTAACTTCTACCAAAAATTTGATATATGTATGTCGTTTTTTTATATTTGCAATCTCCATAAATCTTTTAACAAAATATAATAAGTAATTAATTACGTGTAACAAGTTTCGAAGTTTCGAGATGCGGGTATAACCAAACCATGTTCTTACCATTTTCTGTACGCACCGATCCTCCAGACTGCCGGGTTCCCGCGACGGCTAAGCGACTTGTTGCGTTTGACATTGTTAATAAACCGCGGTTCAATCCAACAATTTGATCAAATTTATTCACTCAAGATCTCTAAAAAGTACGGTCGGAAGAGAGAGAATCGCACATCAGACTCCACGCTTCAACAAATAATAATAATAGTAATCTATGAGTAATCACACACACATGACGATCGGCATCTGACTTTCCTTCCTTTTACGGTCAAGCTCGACGTAACTTTCTATTGGTCAGCCTAAATTTCGTTCTTGCGTGATTGGTGACGGTCGAACAACAAGGTGCGTTTCCAAAATTCGCTGCTGGTATTAAAAATCTATAGTTCACGTGACACATATCATATATTTTTAGAACACAGTCAGAAAACTTCCGGTTGTGAAAATCAGACCTAAAATTCAATGAACACAAAGAACTTGATTTGTGTGTACGTTGTACATATATATAGATTCGCCCGTTCGAGGAGCGCGTTATCAGCGCTATTAAGTCATTCTATCTCTGTTTTATATCTAATGATAGAGTGATGGAGTACCGCACACAACCGCAGTTAACGCGGCCGTAGCAAGCGGGCGTGTGGCGTGTGCGTTACATATGTGTTGATGAATGCTTTATCAACACTTATCGAAGAGTTGCGTAGAGCGGAAATCTGTCATACAACAAAGTAGGCGAAAATATATATACGTATATTATTATAAATATATATTAACACATTATGTTTATTTTTTATATACACATGGTTTTGTTGTTGTGTGTTTATATTCCATTGGTTTCTATCCGGCTCTGAGTATTGAATTCTACTTGCACGATCGTGTTGTTGTGTGTGTGATTTGTTTTCCAATTTTTTTCACTATGATTGTACTTTGATAGGTCACGTTCTCTCAAGCCGTGTTTGTGGTAGCCGAAAGAACACCAAGTGTAGGATTTAACAGAGCGTCACTACAGTTCCCAATCCAATGTTCCCAGAACACGAGTTTTTAGGTTAAGTAATGTTTTTTTTATATGCTTTTTCACACTTACTTCTTACTATCTATAAATGCGCAATGATTATGTATGTGTGTTTACACATAAACTAGACATAAAGCATATATACTAGATATAAAGCATCATACAATTCTCTTTGCAAATCCAAGTAATAAAAGACCAGAAATAAAAGATACAAGTAAGAAACCACCTTGTAAAAATAAATATATAGTTTATTTAACTATTATAATATATTTTAGATATAGAATTTATTTTTGGGTGTGGTATATTTTACAGAAGACAGTAATATACTCCCTCAGTTTTGTGATGATCTATTTCAATCATGGAGCACTGAGCTAGGAATATCTATTGTGCCAGACAAAGAACAGCCAATACATAACTATGATAAAACCGCAAGCGAGGAAGAAACAAGAGATTTTCTTGATTTCTCAATCTTTAAAACTATTGATACATCAGGTACATCATCACAATATGATAATCTCTAAGATATAGTTTGCATTTTTTTCTGAATTTTGCAGAGTTGGATGACTTTATAACTGACCTTAAAAGTGAATTTAAATTAGAACCTGAAAGTCCTTATACACAGTTTCCATCATCACCTAGCAGTCTTAGTTATTCAGAATCTAATGATTCAGACAAACAAGTAACAATATGTTCAATGCAAGAGATATCAAACTCTTTGATACAAAATATAAACACAGGCACAAAGGTAAACACTTAAGATGCATTCAATTTGGACACTTACACATGTGACAAAATTAGAATTTAATTGGTAACTCAATATGTTCTAGTTTACTTTGAGATAACTGATTTCTTTTCCACAGCATGCAACTTTGCCATCTCATTTGTCAACTCTACATGTATCGGACACATCACAAGTTGAATTTGTACCTCTAAAGAAAGAAAATGTTAAACATACAAAGTATATTCTTCCAAAAGAAGAATCTAACAAGCAAACCAATGTTGATATCCAGCCTATGGATATTACACAATGTATAGAAGAAGGTAAATATGTTATTACAAGTTTTTTCAATGAAGAATGTGTATTAAGTGTACATTTTTACAGGCAAGTCTCAAAATACTGTCACCTTTCAAGATTGTATTACTATTGCATCAACTGGGAACTCACAGCATGTATTGTATCCCATGAACTTTCCAACAAACAAACAGAATATACAGAACTCTCTGAACATTGATTCGGTAAAATCAAAAGTCACAGTATTACCACAGAATGTGAAAATAATCAAGTCTATATCAAATGCTAGTCCTCCAAGTGCAGAATCGGTGACTCCTATCTTTCTAAAAAATAGCGGTGTATTACGTAACAAAATTGATGTCGCAAGCAAACCAAACAACATGAATTACATGCAGTTCCAAGTAGTGCAGGATAAAACACACTCCCAGCCGTTAATCGTGAAGAACGAACCAGTCACTTATGTGGATACACTGAGAAACACTGAAGAGTGCAATTTAAGGGCGCTGAAGAGACAACAAAGAATGATAAAAAATAGAGAATCTGCCTGTCTTTCGCGAAAGAAGAAAAAAGAATACGTGACCTCTTTGGAGAGAGAAATATCGGAGTTGAAGGAAGAAAATACACAACTTAAATCGGTGAGCAATCTATATTTTGAAATTGTGATTAGATCATGCAAATTTGTTGAATAGATTTTCAAATAAATATCACAATTTTGTACAATGTTAGGAAAACAGAACTTTAAAGAAACTAGTAACATCACTGAAAGGCCGTTGCACGTGTATTAGAGATGATAAACTTGGAAATTTAAGCGAGAATTTCAAGCGAAATAAAAAACTAAAAATTGCTTTATGTGGTTTCTTTTTCTTAGTAGTCAAAATCAGTTTTTGGGGGTAAGTTTTATCGTCTTGTCATTGAATTATTATAACAGTAAATAAAATTATTATATATTTAATACTGCGTGTTCTCACATAGTACAATGTCTGTTTTTGAGAAAGAAAAAGTGTATTTTGTAGCAACCATTTACTAGCCGATAACGCATCTTTGACAAGGACGAAGATACCCCTAAAGGACACGTATTTCATTACCGAAGATGCTGATTTGTCGATAAACATGCCAGAGATTGGATATAAAAGCAGAACGTTGTTGTCCTGGACAGTAAACGAAAACGATAATAATATAGAAGACAGTTTCAACAGAAGCATACCGGCACTGAAATGTCCGATGTACATCAACCAATCCGAGTCCGATCGTTTGGACAGTGAGTTGAGACGTTGGATCGACAGTGAGGCTGATCGAGATAATCGAAGTGCACTGAAAAAAGTGAACTTGGAAAATAAGTCGTTGTCAAGAAACGGATTGTTGTCGAAACCGTCGCTGGAAGAGAGACCAAAAAAGAAGTCGTACTTATCGCGAGACAGACCAATAAAAACTGTGCAAAAAATGATTGATATTCCTGTTGCCGATCGATATTTGAACAATCAAGCGGTCGAAGTCTTTTCTCCAACGTTGAGTAAACATGCTTCATTATTCGAAGCTTTGGGTAGAAGAGAAGATACGTTTTACGTGGTTTGGTTCAGCGGAGAACATTTGCTACTGCCAGCTTCACAGAAAAATGACACAGCTAGACCTAAAATGTCTTTGGTTTTACCAGCTGTGTCTATAGACGGTAAATAACATTTAATATAATATAAAACGTACTTAGAAATATACTAAAATACTCAGTCTTCTTATTCTCTATGCCGTAGGTACATTTTCGACATCGCCTAATCATATAACAATGATGCAAATCGATTGTGATGTAACCAATACGCAACTGCTGCACTTGCAACAGTCAATTATACCTGTTCACTTGCGAAACAACAAGTCCACAACAAGTCAATCAAATCGACGCCACTCTGTCGAAGATACGGTCGATACGTTCACAACCAACATGACTAAAAACTTCAAACCGTATTTCATGAAAAAAAACAAATTAAAAACTTTGACGTAGAAACCACATATAAACGATTACGCATATGACTGACACATATTTAGGAGTGTATGCACAAATCATGCAATGAATATCTTAGGTTTGTACATAGGAGAAAGTACGTTCCTAGTCTTCCGATACAGAGAATTCACCACAGTTGTGTGGTATATTAGACAGATAATAATTATATAATATATAGAGATTGAAGTGATTTTGTTATCGTAATACTGATATATATATATATATATATATTATTAAAATAACTGCATTATTTCATGATACATATTGTGTGTACATACGGTAAAAAATACCAAAATATATATATAATATATACATATACACAGATAATTTTTAAATATTTATTTTAAATCTGGCGTGGAACTTCCCAAATAACATTGTAAATCTGTCAATGTCGATTGAATCAGTTTGGCTTTAATGAATGGTTTACCTAATCGTTGATGAGCGGTGTAACGATGACAGCCACCGAAAGAATAATAATAATCACCACCTGCATAGAATTTTTCTTTAAGAAATGTTTTTTTTTTTTTTATACAAATTTGCACAAAATGTGCGCAGCTTTACAAGTAAAATTTACCTTCTCTTCCCTTGATCCACAAAACATCGATGGGCGGCACCGTGTGTTCGGTGTCCGCGTTTTTCAACGAGCTCATTAGACTTTGGACTTTCTCCTCATTCACTTCGGCAGGAAAAGGTCTGATAATTATATTCATTGGAATATCGTGCACTTCGGCGTTAATGCTCGAGTGAATCGAGCTGGATATTCGGCACACGTTTTTGCGTATCATTTTCTCGTAATCTTGGTTAAAAATTTTCTTGCAATGAGTAATGCACACGCATGAACAATTATTGAAATGTGATCGAATCGTGTTTACGTACAACAATATCCAATTATATATTCACATTCAATTATATACAATTATTCATATAATTCCTTATATCAAAATATCAAATAATTATTTATTACGGTTAAATCTGTTGCATGTGACAAAATTTCAGTCATAGTAAAGATTGCGATTAGTCATAAGCAAACCAACCAATCACAGACCAGCATTTTAATCGATTGAATTGCTTACCGACTTTGCGGTTACATCTAAAACTTTTTCACATGCAGTATTATATTTCCAAAACGCAACCGCTTACAGTCGTACAAATCACATCAATCACCTAATTTTTATCCCAAATCTGTTTTATTACAATGTGTATCAATATGTATATACATTGCTACAGACTAGTAGATTCACGATCAAGATCATAATCGCAGTACACTTTAACAGCACCGAGTTTTACATTACATAAGAATTTTTTTTCATAGTATTTACTCGTTTAAATACAATCACGTATTCTTTGGTACCGTGATATCATAACCCAAGTAACACATAGCGACATAGTGCATCAGCACAAAATTGAACATGTACAAACCAAAGTCGCGAAACACCAGAGTAAAAAATGCAAAGAACGTTTTGACTCTATTAACTACATTATGTTGAATATTACACAAAAGTAACGCAGCATACAGTAAACTCCCTTCTTGCATATCTTGCAATTTGTCGCACACAGATAAGCGAGCCAGCATTAATACAAAATAAGGAATGACTGCCTGTAAGCATTAATAAGTGTTATACATACATATTATTGATGTTTAAATACCTCAAACAATTAACAAAAAAGTGAGATTACCTGGCCTAAACATAGATTGTCTAATTCTAGAATTAATAAAACATTGACAATTGCGGCCAGAACAATAAGACTGACACGACTAAATAATAATATGTGCAGTAAAGATTTTCTCTTAGACAATTGTTCTGTTAAAGATATATTTGTAGAGTCAGGAGTGTCATTTGAAATTTCATTCTCTTGGAATCTTGTATAATCCTGCTGGGTTGCTTTACTATTGACATCATATGTACCATTTCTGACATCATATTCTGTCAAACATGCTGTTTTCAAACTATTGCTCTTTACTTGCAAATTGTTATCTGTAAAACATATTCCAAATATATCAAAATATATAAATCTTAAACAACCTATAATATGAGAACTTTTTTATATACAATTATTACATATTGTTTCGAAATTTCAGTAGCGAGTTTAAAGTACAATGGTTATTTTCTAATTTGTGTTTATAGTTTTCCTTTTTGTTGTACATAGAATTTTATCAAATTTAGTCCCATACACATCTACGTATATATATGTGAATTTAATATTTTATTTATTTTACTTACCTTTTGTTTCATCTAGATTGCTCCTTCCTGTAATTTTACGTAAACGACTTTCTGCGTTTTCCAAAATTTGCCGTCTTCTCGCTTCTCTTCTGGCATTTGACTCGGCCATTTCATTCAATTATATTTTATATATATATATATATATATATATATGTAAAAGATATGTACGTACGGAGGAAAAATAAAAACAAATCGTTTTATTCTGATTTATAGAATATCCAGTTGCACAAACGATGCATTAAACACTAAATCATGTAAAGTCGAATGAAACTAATTTGCACTATCGATCATTTACAATACAAATAAAATAAAGGTTTATGCGATGTTCAATTACGCTGCCAATCTTGATTTTTTAACAATTTCTTGCTGTTCTTGCTATATATCTTGTTGTTTTAATTTTTTCAATATATGTTCTCTATTTATCTTTTTTTCCTTCAATTTGACTTCTTGATATTCTCTTGGGATTTGTGATGATAAAAATTGACCGGAAAGAAAGTTACCACAACTCTATCAATGCGATTGGCCCGAGTTCTAGTAACTTTTTGCAGACGCGGCGGATGCAGGTCTTACGGAATTCACTAATCACAATAGACGTGAGTAAAAAGTCAAACTTTTCTACTTAAGTTGAAAATTACACAAAATTATTTGATCCAGTTCAAATAATAAATGCGAAATCAAAATTTGCGATGATTTGCGTGATTTAGTACTTCTGAAACATCAAGCGTTAAAAGTATCATTGCACAATATCAAATTGAAATTGAAGGTAAAAATAATAGGATTAGATTATACAAATAATTTTTATTTTAATGAAAAGGTATTGAGAAATGGATGCATAAATAACTATACACATTTCAATGCCACATTTCAAATAAATGTTTGAGGTAAAAATGTATACATATAAAGGTATAAATGTATACATATGTATATAAAAGAATCAGATGCATTTGTGTTGTTGCCACAGTGACGATCAGTAAGCAAATCTCTCTTTATCCACATTATTTCTGTAGAATAAGGAAGAAATAAATGTTAGTTGCGATATGGTATATGATTGATAATCAACATTAAAAGCACATGTCATGATGTATACTTCTTTTAAGTAAAGGTCAAATCAATAAAACTAAGAGTCAAAAAATGTTACATAAATTTATTATTTAAGTTGTATATTAATGAGAATTACATGATATATAAATGTGAACACAGAAATATTAAATCAATATAAATTGAAACAATGTATGTTTGTACACAAATCATATAAGAAGGTAATGTTAGAAAAATAAGAAAATCAAACTACTATTTTTGACGTTATAAACAAAAATCACTTATACATCAGATTTAAAACACAAAAGATTGATATCAGAAAAGCGGCTGTAGCAATAAATACATACTCTCTTACCGTTTTCCAGTTTTGGCCAGCTTCTTTCAGAATTTTTAAAACTTTCTTCCACAAGGAAGCAAGATACTCATACACCTGTGTACAAGTACCACGAGACTGTACAGAGTTACTAGCGTTTTTTATCAATGTATCTCGACCATCATTTGAATACTTCGTAACAATTTGTGAATCATGTCTGTCATTATAAAGTACTGAGCTTTTTGTAGACTCTAACTGTTGACTTGCGCCAGGACCATTTTCAAATTTATCATATGCAATATCAGTGCCCCAACCTATTTTAATGTTCTCTTTGTTTTGGATGCTAATACCAGGAAGATCTGCAAAGACAGGCTCAACAATTTGCATACTAGTTTGGTTGAGGCACTCTGAATCCTATTCTTTATTTATACCAATGCTTGTATTGCGTTTAGATTTAACACTGGACCTCAACAAGTCACGACGGCCTGCTTTAATCATGTCTTCCTCCCATTTTTGCAACTCAGCCTTATATTTCTCTGTTAAATGCCTTGCCTGATCTATGTACTTAGTTTTAACTTCCTTTGTCATGTCTTTCCATTCTTTACTTATATTGCTCATCCAATCCTAGGAGATTGAGAGACAAACATTTATTTTCTTATTTATATCTCAAAAAATTGAAACACAAATTGGAAAAAGTGAAAACATGTCTATGGCCTGTATATTTATATATATATATATATATATATATATATATATATATAAATATATAAAAATATATTTTTAGCAAACTTACTTTCTGTGATATTTCTGGATTTTTAGTACTCATTTTATCTTGCATGAATAAAAAGAAGGCAGACAATGGTCGTTTTGGTTTCCCAAGTTCCTCAAGTTTCTATTAAAAAAAAAAAAAAAGAATTATATTTTATCTTCATTTCAAGAAGACAAAAATTTTTATAAAAATCATTTTTTAATATACTTGCCTGTTTAATTTGACTTTTTTCCTTAGCATATTCTCTCTTTTCTTTGACAAGTTCTTTCCTCATTAATTCTTCTTTAATCAGTATTTTCTGATCAGTTGTTAGAGATTTTTCATAATCTATTAATTTTTGTTTATAAGCAAAATATTGTTCTGTATACTGTTTTTGCAAATTCTGTTTTGTTACAGCATCCAACTGTGCCCATTGCTCTGATGCCTTTTTTATAATGTCTTTATATGGATAGTCAGGATATTGGTTTTGTAAATTGCTTCGTACTGTGAGAAGATATTGCATAAATGGATTTATTGGTTTCTTTGGTTTTAACGGCAATACATCTGTATCATGCTTGAGTTTTGATGTCACAGAATCTTGGGCTAATCTCCTAGAGAAAAGAATTTAACTCTTAAAGTACACGTGAGGTAAAATCTATCTCACAACTTTTATATTTTCTAAGTTCCATGCTTAAATTAATTCTCCTTTTTTTCAGTATGTAATCAAAACAAAGTGTGAAAAAAAAACTGAAAAATGCTAATTCAAATATTCCATAACATATTTAGTTTAAAGAAAATATGTGTACTTTAAGGGTTAAGGTTATCACGCGCATTGTTTTTATAGATTAGGTTAGAACAAAAAAACTTTTGAATTGTTTTTTAAGAGTAGATACTATGTTGCAGAATAAAGATATTTGAATGACATTTATGTCAAATTTAGTTCACCTTATACAGAAAAAGTTGACAAAGTTCGTGTGTGACAACAATCGCCAGGTCGCCATGATTATACACTAAGTTCAATGAGAGAAGAGAATTAGAATGGACAAAAACTCATTCGGTTCGTAAAAATTCCCTACAGAAAGCCCCTCACTTCACAGCCATTGGCTGCCAACAGGTGTTTCCTGCGCAAACGCTAAGGCCAGTATTCATAGTCGAATCTTATATTTAAGATTTGTTCGCGTCGCATGCCCCAACATGCTCCTATTCGCTCCAACGCGCTTTTTTTCAATGAAACTTTAATGAAACTTCAAAACTTTTTTAATAAACTTTTTCAATAAAAAAAGTCGCACTTAGTGCGCACTAGTGCAGACTACCGAATTTGCTGTTAAGCCCGTTCTACATTGATCGCAAGCGCAAACGCAAGGTATAGATCTCATAGAATTGACCAATCACGCTGGTCAATTGGCTGATTTGATCAATACGATTAGTCAATTCTACCAGACCTGTTCCTTGCGTTTGCGCTTGCGATCAATGTAGAACAGGCTTTATACACACTGCTCCTATGTAACGTCATCTTCATCTCGTAATCATTTAATCCGCTATATGTGTTGTATATTAAGCCTCATAGGAGCAATTCTCGGGCAAATCTTTACTTCAATAAAAAATATTAAAAAAATAAAAAAAATAAAAAAAAAAATCTTCAGATGCTCAGCAGTCAATAAAACTAAGGCTGCGTTCCGAGTTACGCATATGTCTATACTATACGTCACGTGTACTATTGATAAATGCGCGCATATGCGTAACTCGGGACGCAGCCTAAGTATTCGTACACTATCTGAAAATTAACTTAAGACGATCTTAAAGTTGCGGTCAAAGTCTCACTGCAAATGTTTCAAAATATCGTTTTATTTTTATTCTATTTACATTTATAACGAAAAAAGAATGATGCTTCGAAACGTTTGGGCTGTGTTCAGTTAAGCAAGATGGAACGAACTAATGGAGGAAATGCAGGAAATACAGGAATTGGAACTAATGAATTCCTGTATTTCCTGCATTTCCTCCATTAGTTCGTTCCATCTTGCTTAACTGAACACAGCCTTGCAGTGAGGCTTTGACCGCACCCAAATATAAGATCTGACTATGAATACTGACCTTACTGTATTTTTGATCTAAATGTGACCGCACCTTAATACGGTCTTAAAAGGCATTACGTCATCTAGTAAACTCATCTGCAAAATGGAGAAAATTTGGTTTTTGCAAATGGCGTATATAAGCGTATATCTTGTCGTTATTTATCATTAAGAAAGTGATTTGTACAAGTTTTCAAGTTTTACTGTGTTTATTGGTGCTTCTCTACAAAACGTTTAGTTTTTTCCTCCATTCAGAACTTATTTCGACTACCAATTATTTTATCTACTCAAATTGATTTATCTTGCGCAAGCAAAATAGAATTTGAAACAACTGTAGATGAAATAACGTCCTTGAACTTTTTATTGTTACGGCTGTTAAATATATAAAGAAATCGGTTACACAGAAGAATACTTTGAATTTCAGTTACAGGTTGAACACATTATACAGGTTATTTCTCTTTTTACTAAAACTAAGATGACAAGACGAACACTGTTCAAAAGTATTAAAATTCAAAATTTTCATCAATATAAATTTCAGCACTGACTTTTGCTTCCATTTTTATATCACCAACCAAGTCCAATGCGTCCAACAAGTTACTCCCATACCAGGGATCAGAGATCCAGTAGATATAGTGAAGACCCTGTTCCTTCTACTTCACGTTCAAGAACTGAAGAAGAGATCAAGAGAAGAAGAGAAGAATGGAGACGTCAGCAAGAGTTAGAGATGGAACATGAGAGATTAAAAAGACGAAAAATTGAGGAATGGGAAAGAAAACGGGCCCAAGAGCTGGGTAAAAGAAGCCCTAGTGACTCTCCTCCTCATCATCATACAGGAAGATCTTCACCAAGTCAATATCTATCTACTTTCAAAGAGTGAGTCTTAGATAAGCAACTGTAAGAAAACATCTTACTTAACCTTTGATCCAATTATTTAGCTATGTTTTTGAATGAAGATTAGATACAAATTAGTTTTGATACTATAAATTATCAAAACTTGAAGCCAGCTAATAAAAAAAATTAAAAGAGATAAAAAATTCAATAAGGTAATGAAAAGCCTTTCATTTGTATTACCAAAGTCAACCTTAAGAAGTTACAGTTGTTGCAGCTATATTGAGGATTATGATATCACAAGTGAGAAGTCCTATGACTTTTTACCATGCAAGTTTTTAGATTAAAATAAACTCCTTGCATACTAGGAACAGCATTTATTAATGCACAAGACAAGAAGTAAATTACTAAAAAGAGTTTTCATTTTTATTAATAAATCTACATATATATATACGTATATTTGCTTATGTCATAAGAAAGGTCTGTTTTTGACAAGAAATAAACAAAATATTTAGCTTACAGTACTTGTATGATATAAGTTTGTCAAAAGAAGTTGATAGAAATAAAAACATTTATAAACTGTTTTTTTTTTTTTTTTTTTTTTTGCTTATAAAAGCACATTCATACAAAGTTATCATTTATGAATACACAACTCTATTGTTTTATGCATAATAACATGGAAAAACAATACTAAAATTGATAAAAGTCTTTTAAAGGCTTCAAATATGTCTTACATCAGATATCCTTATATAGCAAGACTACTGTATAATAATACAATAATAATAACATAAAGATATAATTGTAACATGATCAAATTTTCTTCTTAGAAAATCAAGCGGAGAAAAACCCTTGTTCAAAGGTCCAGAGGGTACACCCATTAATTCGACAGAGTTACGTCGAATTAAAGTTGATATTCGCAGAAACATCCCTATAAAGGGTCCTATTCCTGAAATAAAACGAGACATACCTAATCTTGATGATGTGATTATCTCGAGAAGAGATGGTAAATTATTGCATTTATTTGAATCCTCATACTTTTTTTTTACAGAAGCTTGATTTAACATTTAGCAGCGCAACAAAGGAAGAAACTAACTCCGATACTTGAAGTAGTTTTTATTAAACTTATCAGGGTTTTTGCCATATCAATTATATAAGATGTAAAGATATTGTCACATCAAGTCAAGACATTGTCAAATTGTAACATTATTAGACCAATATTCATAATCTAATCTTATATTTAAGATGACTTCAAATATTAGATTTGACTATGATTATTGGCCATACATTAACTTCTATATGAAGATTTTATTCCCATAAAAAAATCATCACTGAAGATTGAACACTGTGTTTCAAAACTTAAAACTAATTCAATACCAAAGTAGCACAATTGTTGTATTACATTTTATAAAACAAAACTTAAAGGTTTAACAAAAAGAGAAAACAAGAATTTGTTTTTTCAAATTTAATGTAAATTTTTATGAATTTTATATTAATATAAAAATTTTATATAGTCTCACGTATAACATTGCAAATATCAAGTTTTGTTTAATAGATAAGAAAATTATATTTTCAAAAAACAATATCGGAATTGTAATAGGGGAAAAGAGAAAATCAATATTTGACAACAAAAGAGGAGAAAAAACAATTATCCAAACATGAAACAGAGTATCAAAACCATAATTCATAGAGGATTAACAGTCACAGGTATGACTTAAAAAAGAGAGAAATTATTTTTTATTTTAGATTTCTAAATTGTGTCTAAACTGAGCTCTAGATAATTAACTTCATGTGACACTGGCATAAATTTCAGATATAATGAAGACACTGCTTTTATATCACGTACAAAACCTGAAAACAAAAAAAAGAAGAATAGAAACTTAGAGAGGTAGAAAATGAGAGATTAAAAAACCGAAAGTTTATAAATTGAGAAAAAAAATGGGCGCAAGAGTTGGATGAAAGACGTCTTAGTAACTCCTTGTCATCATCGTACAGGAAGATCTTCATCGAATCAATATCTATCCACCTCTTAAGAGTGAGTTTTAGGTAAACACCGATGTAAGAGAACATTTTGTTCGACTTTTGATTCAACCGTGTGCGAAGATATAAATAATTAATTGACAATTTTGTGTGCAAAGATATAAATTACCAACACTTGAAGCCAAGCTAACAATAAAAAATCAAAAGATAGAACGTCAAACAAGAAGAGTTACCAACGGCAATAAATGAAACTGATGAAGTTAAAACATTCATCCGGTTATAATCATGTATTTTGACTTATCAGGTATGAATTACGCGAGCGTAATTGTTCTTATATTATTATTACTTGAATTATATTATATCGATTGTGAATTACAAGTAATAAACTTACAAACTTGCATTTACTTCTCTTTGGTGAAGATATGTAAATATAAAACATCTTCTAATCTTTTCTATCTATATTTTAATGAAAGATTTAGACTTGTTATCTTTGAGTAATTAAAAATGAATAATAGTGTGGTGTATTGTTGTGTGTTATGCATGTACACACAATATAATAATTTTCTAAATTTTTTCTATTACTATATTTTTTCTACTACTGTGTGTATGAATAATAAAAACAAACAATATCGAAAGTAAACACATTATGCGTCTTCTGGAAGATGGGTAAAGTAATAGATGAATAATTGTGTTCTTCTCTGAAGATTTTTAAGCTTAATGGATATTGTAGGATTTTGAATTATTGTAGGAAATATAATCTCATTATTAGTATTGATTTTACACATTTGTGAAATAATTATCTGGTGATACATTTTCAGAGAGATAGCATAATATCTATATTATGTTCACATAAGCATAAATTCTATAGACTGCTATATACATGATAACAATGCATATAAGTAAATTTAAGAGTTTTGTGTCTACCAAAACTATATAATTTTTTAAAGTCTTTTAAAACAATTTTTTCTTATATTTTTATAAAAGATTTAAGAAAATTGATGAAATGTAACCAAAGAAAACAAATTTTATATAATTGTTTGCTGCTAACACATATATATATGCATATGTGTGTGTATATATATGTATATATATATACATATAAAATCATGTTTATACTACAATACACTAAGAAGAAAGATTCTATAGATTCTTTTCACTTTTACTGCAACAATTTACTGAATGTTTATAGTCTAAATCTGATCTTCAATTTGAATATTAAAAGAGTTGTAAGAGCGAGTGTTCGAGCAATGATTTTCTTAATAATGATGCAAAACAATGCACCTGTGCAATATTCAAAAATTATATACTTAAAACATATACTATAAACCGTTTAGGAGAAGGATCAAAGCCAATATTTGATAGAGCGGAAATAAAGAAAGGGGTTGTTAAAGGCGATGAAGAGAAAGAACACCGTACCGTTATGACAATAAAAGAAGATCAGTCAGGTATGATAAATTTATACTACAAAATCAATTATATTGTTTTAATATTTTAAGTTTGCTACTTTGGTATTGAAATAATTAACTTTGACAACTATTGTTTTTTTATGTTTTTATACTCTTGTTTATATATTATACTTTTACTCACAAATATTTTAAATAAATGTGTATTTTATATAATATGTAGTTATGGAAAATTTTTATATATTAGAACTAGAACACTATATTTTAGGTTCTACCAAATCACGAGCATCAAGAAAGCGATCTCTTTCACCGAGTTCGAGTAGGATTCGTTACAGTCCCCAATCTCAATCTTACAGTCACTCCAGGTTTGATCTGTAACACTTGCAATAAGAGCACTCCCAAATACATACTTTTTCTTAAATTTTAATTTCGTAAAAACTTCGAACTACGTTAACAAAAAAAGTTATTATAGAAAACAAATAGTAAGGGGTTTAATTATTGGTCGTAAAAAAGTTGAAATTCACATTTATTGTTTTTAAAGTAAATAACCATGATAGATAATAACTAATAAATTGTGGTTTCCAATAAAGTTTATATTTATCTTGTTGTAGAGACAGATTAGAGAAACATAAATTTTATAAGGACAATTATCCAGATAAAGAAGATGAACGACGTAGTAATCGTTCACGTTCTGTAGAACACAAACGCAACTTACATTCCAGGTACAGTATTATCAAATTAATCATAAACCTATTTGTGTCAAAAAAAAAAAAAAAAAAAAAACCAATAGACTGAAGTACATGCACCTATCAAAAACAAATCTATATAAAGATGGTTACTTACTATATTATACATACTACCGTATCTTTTGATGAAATGATATTTGCTATTATTAGATCGCTTTGCATTTTTTTAATATGAAGTGATATTACGACTAAAAGATTTTTTCGTACAAATATAAAGTTTCTTTCTTTTACTTTGAATGAGAATATAGGTACTGTTTTTTATCAGAACTTTTTTGTTTCTTATTAGGTCATTTATAGAAGATAAATATCGTTATGATAGATATCGTGAGAAATCACGCGAACGTTCTCGTGAAAGCAGAGATACAGAAAGAAGCAGAGATAGAGATAGAGACAGAGACAGAGACAGAGACAGAATCAGAGATAGAGATAGAGATAGAGATAGAGATAGGGACAGGGACAGGGACAGGGACAGAGAAAGAGAGAGAGATAGAGATAGAGACAGAGATCGGGACAGAGATAGATACATTGAACGGAGAGATGTAGAAAATTACATCGGACCACTACAACTTTATTCAGCAGATTCTCTTCATCCCTACGTAAGGAAAAACTATCTCTTGAATTTTTGTGCTAAATTTGTGTTTTTTCTTATATAATTGATTTAATTTTCATATAATAATAATGTCTATATAGAACTTTCCGAGACCAATTATTCCTATAATGGGCCCTATGGTTCCACTACCAAGAGGATTTAGACAAGTTGCTCCTTTAGGAAGAATTCGATATCCTCCTCCAGTAGGACCGATCAGACTACCATATCCTGGTCCGACTATGTATAGATATCGTGCTCCATATACAAAGTAATCTAAATGTAATGTAAGTGTAAGGATTTTCTTTGTGTGCTATTTTATTTGTATGCATCATCCTTATACAAGTGATTTGAAAACTTTCAAATTGTGTAGCTGATTGATTCTATCATGTTTTAATTTAAATTAAGATTGAGAAAGTAAACAATTGAGATATTTATTGATTGTTCGGTTTTGCTGTACGCTTTGTTATTTTATATGATATTAAAATATATAATGTATATACATGTGCGAATATTTTTATCGGTATTTTTATGTATTATGTGTAGTTTTATTATAATATATGTTAAGTTAATATAAGTAAGACGCAAATACACACAGTGGTTGAACGAGCGTAAAAAAACGAAATGTCTATAATCGAATGACTTTTGAGCAGGTGCGCTGTGAAGTACACAAATATATGCGCATACAAAGCTGTTACTATTACATGAAACTTGACAAATTTATCCGATAGAAATCTTATAAGATGCAATTTAAAATGAAAGAAAGATACTAATATCTAACATGTATCAGTACACACACACAGAGAAACATTTAATTTTTTTGTATATGGAGGATATGCTATACATATACACATAAAAGATGCATATGCGATTATTTGTTTTAATTATATGTCTAATATATTGTACTGTATAACTTTTTATAATATATAAATACGAAAAATAAATTTATATGTAGTTTTTATATACTGACACACGTTTTTATCTAATTATATTTTTTCTTTCTCTCTGGCCGGCTCGAGGTGTTGCACTGCGTGTAATACCGATGCACGTGCATACATCACGGAAGACAACCACGCGGTGTAATATAGCACGAAAAAGAACACACACCCTGTATATTCATCGACAAGCTCTGCTCGTGGACATGGCTACGTAGTTGCCAATGTGCACCACTCTATAGACATAGCGCTGGTTTACAGGACGGTAAAGCCATTACCGTCCTGTAAACCAGGTTTTCACATGGCCTTGGCCGTTCTCAGTCTTCTCTCTACAGACGCTTTCGGGTGAGATCCTCATCTGGAAGCAATTTACAAAAATCTAGATCTGGTTGCCGCAGAGCGTCTAGAAAAAAAACTATTTTAAATCATTTAAAAACCATTTTAAAGTGATGACAATATTACATCACCGTCGCTCTTATGTATTGGCAGTTTAATGTGTGCCAAATATAATGACAGAAACAAAGGCGAGTTGAGTCACGGGAGACCATTGTATTCGCACATTATTGCCGATATTCATAGTCGGATATCTTAATTCTTGCAATCGTCTTGGATGCATCTTCAGATGGATCTGAATAGCCAATGAGATGATCTGCACGGTCTCTTAAGATGAACCTAAGATGATCTTACAAGATCGGACTGCGAATACTGCCCTATGATCGAGTTCCCCTTTAAAAAAGCGGCGTTTGTGCAAACACGAATGGAATCTTGCGGACTATAGTGTATCTCGTTACACGCAAATACATCGAATGTTGTGTGAGTGAACTATTTTACTTTTAAGTATTCATATAAGTATATATATATATATATATATATAAAGCTATATTCTACACACACAATTGCATTTTTTATGTTTCGACGTTTTAAGTACATATCTATTCTAGTTTTCCAACAGAGAGACCGTCATTTTACATTGTTGTTTTAAAAAAATTTTATGTGAAAATCAGGCATAATTGTTATATCGCGCTGGACGTGTGCTGTTCTATATTCCACATTATTTCACTTTGCCCGACGCGCTCGGAATTGCTCTGAATGCACCTGGCAAACGGCTCAAAAAGTTCTGCTGCAAATATGTACGTTTGCCAGAGTCCATCATTTGGTTAACGCGCGCGATGTCTAGACCAAATTCACCTAAAACGGACACGACTAACTGCAGTAGCCTTCTGCGGCAATTTCGCTTTCAAAAGAAGCAAATCAAGATGAACATGTGTAAGAATTTTGTATCATATTATATTTCCTCTTTATATTATTTCGTTTCAATCGATGTAACCGGTGTGTGTATGCGCTTCAGTTTTTCTCTATGCATTTCTAAGCAATAATGTGTATTGTGCTAACATGCCTGTTTAAACATTCCTATGTATCATAGTTTGATATTTAAAGATTAATTTTTTTTTATTTTTTTGAACAATGCTATATTTGTGTTTTTTTATATCTGTCGCTCATTTTATGTTACTTAAAATATTTATATGTAAATTTAGTCAACACACACATGTTACAAAACTTGATATCAGCTAATCTGGTTTTTTTTTTTATTAATGAAATCTTATTTTTTTAAGTCATTGAAGATTTAATTTGTTTTACACATGTATTTAATTTAGCTGACGATGATAGTAACTTGGTAAGTACTGATGCCCAAGTACGCCGAAAGCGTATTAGCACAAACCGTATTGAAGACAGTGACAGTGATATTGGTAGTCCAGCTAAGTCAAGTTCAGATTCTAACGACAAAAATCAAAGCAAGGAACATAAATTAAAGTACCTGAGAACTTTGCATCCAAAAGCGGACTTGTTGGTGAGTAATCACACATAAACAATTTTGTAAATATATACTTTTTTTTACAATTATTTACTTTATAATTACAACTTCTAACAAAATTAAAAATACTAATCTAAAAAAGTAATGTAATATAAGAGAGTATATTTTTATATTATTTACATTATTTTTATATTATTTAGAAACTACACGAAGCACTCTGTGGTAATGATTGGGATGTTGATAAAGCGGATAACGAACTTACAAATAAAACCAGAAAAAAGAAATCAGAAAATCATGCAAAAAGTAGTAAAAGCAAGAGAAGAAAATTAGATGATGAGAAAAATTCAGATTTCGAATCAGATGAAGGAAATTATAAAGAAAAAGTATTCGACAGGTAATATGTACAAATATATTTTGATGAAAATTGCACTCATAATTAAATAAATATGTAATTGAGATATTATTATCACAAACAGTGATGAGGACTCGGATGTAGAAATATCCGATAAACTCACAGGTGATAAAAAAGCAGTATTGGACTTTATGCAAACTGCTTTGCCTTCGGAGTTGCTTCTCATGTCCTATTGTTCTAAAACAAAAGCTGATGCTATTATAAAAGCAAGACCGTTCGAAAGTTGGAGTGATTTAGTAAATAAATTCCAAAATACAAGATACTTAGACACAGAATTATTAAATACTGCTCAGGTAAATTTATAAAATTATAACAAAATACAAAAATAAACAAAAACGATAAATTAAGTTCTGTCATAGAATTTAAAAAATGCTTGTTGTCTTACATTTGTATTGATTTTGTTTTTTTTAACACAAACAAAGGTGTTATTGTCTACGCGTCAAGTAGTGGAAACTCTTATGAAAAAATGCCTTCGCTTGTCCACTAATATGGAAAAAGCTGTGGCTGCTGGTGCTTCAGCTATAAAGCAACAACCAAAGGCGTTGTCGTCAGACTTAACGTTAGCTCCTTATCAAATGGTTGGTTTGAATTGGTTAGCTGTTATGCATGCACAGAATGTGAATGGTATATTAGCCGATGAAATGGGTCTGGGAAAAACGGTACAAGTAATAGCATTTTTGACATATCTAAAAGAAGCTGATCTTCTTGATGAGAAGGACGGGCCTCATTTGATTGTTGTTCCCAGTTCGACTATAGGTAATTCATTGAGTTCTACAATAACGTGAACACGATCTTACACAAATAGAATGTTTACAATACATGTAAAATTATTTTTCTTGACAGAAAACTGGTGGAATGAGATAGAAAGATGGTCACCTGACTTAAAAGTTGTGCAGTATTACGGCTCTCAAGAGGAACGTAAGGAAATGCGAATGGGTTGGCGAAACGGTGATCTCGATGACGTCGATATTTTGTTAACTACATACAGTTTGATTAATAGCACTCCCGAGGAGCGCCGACTGTTTCGCGTCATGCCAGTTAATTATGTAGTTTTTGATGAAGCTCACATGCTCAAGAATATGAGCAGCGTTAGATATGAAAATCTTGTCAGAATTAACGTATGTATTTTCTCTCATGCACACACTCTCATTCATATATGCAACAAAAGTTTTTTTTTGTAACAAAATCTTGACTGTTTTTAAAGGCCAAGCGTCGAATTTTGTTAACTGGTACACCTCTACAAAATAATTTATTGGAATTAATTTCCTTGTTAATATTTGTGATGCCTTCATTGTTTGCTGGGAAACAAGCTGACTTAAAAAGTTTATTCTCAAAAACTCCCGTAAGTTTATAAATAAATTACAACTGTATTTTAAACAATATAGCCATTTCTTTTGTATATTAATTATAATAATTATTCAAAATAAACTTTTTCAGAAAACGGTAAACGATAAAAAAGATAAAGAGGAAGAACAGCCGTCGTTCGAGAGAGAACAAGTTAAGAATGCGAAGGAAATAATGCGTCCATTTGTTCTACGACGACTTAAAAGTGAAGTTTTGGGCGACTTACCGCCTAAAACGGATGAAGTAAAACGATGTGCGTTAACTGAAAAACAGCGAAATATGTATGACAAATTAGTCGCTCAATTTTCAGCAGAAACTGCCGAAGTTTTGAACGAGAACAGAACTGGTATGATGATGCAGTTAAGGAAACTTGCCAATCACCCGCTTCTCGTGCGTAACTATTACGATGAGAAAAAACTCAAGGTATACGATTTGATGAAAAAAAAATTTATTTTCTTTCTGTGATAAATTTCTAATTTATTATTTAATGCATAATGCAGGCTATAGCGAGTAGACTGGCAAAAGAAACGGGTTACAAACAGAAAAATCCAGAGTACGTTTTTGAAGATCTGATTTGGATGTCTGATTATCAAATAAACCAATTGACACGTACGTACAAGAGCATAGCCGGATTCGGTTTACCTCAAGAACTTATTCCCGAAGCTGGAAAACTAAAGGAACTGGACAAGTTGCTACCGCAAATGAAAAAAGACGGTCACAGAGTTCTGATTTTTAGTCAGTTTACTATGATATTGGACATACTTGAGGAATATTTAACCATCAGAAAACAAACATTTTTAAGGTTCGTAATATATAACTAAGCATCACACACACATACACATAATAAGTTTATCGTTCAACTTAGGCTAGATGGTAATACACCCGTAACTGAGAGACAAACTCTTATAAACGAGTATACGGAAGATCCAAGCATATTCATATTCTTGTTGTCCACTAAAGCCGGAGGTTTGGGAATCAATTTAACAGCTGCTGACACCGTTATAATTCACGATATAGATTTTAATCCCTACAACGACAAACAAGCAGAAGACCGATGTCATCGAGTAGGACAAAAAAAGTATGTAGTACAAATGCTCTTAGAAACGCGCGTATTTTAGAAAATGAGATAAACAATAGATTTCTGTCATTTTTTTTTGTTTTAACACACCAGACCAGTTACTATAATTCGACTGTTAAGCGAAAAAACGATAGAAGAAGGCATGTACGAGATAGCACAAGACAAGCTACATCTCGAAGTACAAATCACTGGAAACGAAGGTAAATGCTTTATTCTAACAATTGTGCGACAAGATTTACCAAGCTCTGTTTCTTTTTGCTCGCAGAAAATGAAAATGCCGATAAGAAGTCTGTTCTGAAATTATTGAAAATGACCTTGGGCCAGGATATTCATAAATCTCTATCATCAACAAGAAATATCAGTAAAGAATCTAAGATAGAAAGTGATGACAATTGTACATAGAAAAATCTAATTGTAATAGTGGGACATTTGTAATCTAGCTTACAGTAGACCCCTTATAACACGGAACCTACATTCCGCGCAAATGACTCACGAGAGTTGGATCAAAAGTTAAAAATTGTAAATATTCCATAATTCAATTTCAAATCAATGACATGATTTATACGATGTATAACGATTAGTTAGCTGTACGTATTGTATACGTGGGTTTTATCAGGCTTTTTTGTATCACGTTTCACGAATCCGCGTTATATGGGGGTTTATTGAATTTGTAAGAATAGAAATTTTGATATATACCAATTTACACTTATATGCTCGAAAAGTTGGATCTTTGTAAACACACAGGTAAAAAAAAAAAAGATGGATGTATTTTGTAAAATAACGAAGTTTTTGTTCAGAGTATACGATTCACATACACAACATATACAATTTATGTACGTTTCCTATTTATTATACACACTGCGAAATATTTAATCTTTTGTGATTTTGTATGTTCCATTAAATCATTCCTTTATTTATCTACACAATGTGTAGTTGTTTGTTCATTTCTGTACAATAAATTTATACGTGTATGTGTACACTCGTTTTATCACCTGAGAGCTAGAATTCTATCATTTTTTTTCCCAAAAGAGAACTCTAGCACTCAAGTAAAGCAACTTCTAAATTTCTCCTCTTCTCCAAATATCAAAGTATACAATATAGAAACAAGAGAAACCAATGTATTAAAAAAACCAAAAAACAATCATTAATTAGCTAAAAATTATGTATAATTGCATACATGTTCTTCAAGTTCTTCATAAAAGATTGAGGATTGTAAACCACGTACATAAAAAACCGATTATATTGACAAACACATTATCTCAGTATTCGAGAAAGACGTATCAAAATATTTTATTATACAAATTACAAACCTTAAGATACACTTTGTGCATGATTTATTAAAAGATCCGACATTCCGTCTTTTATTATTTTCAGGCTTTCTAAATCAGCATTTATTGTTGCAATAAGCTGCGCCATTCCTTGCTGCTGCATGCTTAAATACTGAAATATTGAAAAAAAAAAACCATCGTGTTTTATGTAAAACATGTTTGTTTTTAATTTAAAATAAATAAAACACATTTTCTTACCGCTTTGATATCATCCTGTGCTATAGGATCCATTGTATATCTTTCTTGATTTTGAATATCGATGTGCCGTCTCATTCGAAGCTGCGAAAGCATTTCGCTAATTCTACCTTTGTATTGCGTCGGAGCACTGATTTGCGAATGCATTGCTTCAAATCTACGCGTCAGAACTTCTTCTTCTGGTTGCAGAGACAATCCGACCTTACGTGTGATCTCTTGTCGAACTAGCACCTTTAGGCAAAAATATATACTTCCTAACAAACGAAGGCACATTTACAAAGCAATACGTAAAATTAATCAACACGATACCTGTAAGACTCTGTGTTGAAGTTCCAACAGTGTACGCCTGTGTTCCTTGAGTCTGGCCTGTGTAGCTGTATGCTGTCTCTGCAAGCCTTGTATCTTTTCAGCTGCCATGTCTAAAAACGCTCTATATCTAGCAGTTTCTTCCTCTTGACACTTCAATCTATGTTTCACTTGCTGAAAACCAATCATGGGAACTGGTATATATAATTCCGGATTGGGATTGTCCAATTGTGCTTGTTTCCATAATCTAGCGTCGATAGCACAGGGCGGATTATCCAAATACTCTTTTAATTGCGACTGATCGAGTTTTACCAGTGGAAATATATCTTCCACACCGTTTTGCATCAATTGTTGCTTTTGCATAGCCTGGGATAGATAAGCTACCAATTCATTCGCAGGAATTTTTCTGTAAGAACCGGTAATTCCTTTCTCTGACACGTATATCGTTACTTGACTCTTATTTTCTCCTGTGGATTTAATATTATCAACGGTTACTGTTAAATTCGGCTTGTTTCCCAGCAAACCATTCAGAAACACGATTAATTGTTGTTTGCCATCCTGCACATCTTTCTCTTTCTTATTGAAGCACAATACCACTAAACCGTCGTTGTTGTCTGCGTCGGGTATACGGCTGTACCCAATAGCTTTAAATCTGCACAATGAGTTTTCTTGAGTGAGCTCTATTGGTGGAGCATTTACAGAATAATAAGCCTTTCCCGTGCCCCACAATGCTTGAATAAGATTCCACCTTGCAATAGTGTTATCTCGCTCATCGTTATACAATAGACAGTTGAACACTGCATTATATAGAGCTTCTGATCCACTATTTCCAAGTTGTTGCTGTTGTTGAGACTGTTGCTGAGGCTGTTGTTGAGGCTGTGTCAATCCGGTGCCAAATCCGGTAAATCCAGTTCCTAAAGCACATGTGTAAAATATAAATATTAATAAAATATAAGTCAAAAATGTCAATAATAAACTCTTGTATACCAAATCCATCATTACCTGTCCCAAATCCACCAAATCCAGTGGCAGTAGTGGTAGCTGGCTTGGTTCCAAAGGCGCCAAAACCTGTGGATGTGCCAAAACCACTCGAAACAGTATTTGTGGTACCAAATCCACTAAACAGACTGGGAGCAGATGTGGTAGTAGTTGTTCCAAATCCACCAAAACTTCCGAAACTTAACGACGATGTTGTTGTCGCTGTTCCAAATCCACCAAAACCGGTTGCGGAAGTGGGAGCACTGCCAAAAGTCGAAGTTGTACCGAATCCTGTGCTTGTGGAAGAAGTAGTATTGCCAAAAGCTGGCGCCGCACCGAAGGCGCTAGATGACGCGGTACCGAATGTAGGTGCAGATCCAAAACCTGTGGTCGATGTGCTACCAAATCCTGTAGCTGCTGGAGTACCAAATCCGGTACTAAATCCAGTAGTTTGAGTGGACGGTGTACCAAACAAACTCGGCGTTGAAGTAGTCGGTGTACTAAATCCGAACGAAGGTGTTCCAAATCCTGCTACTTTGGATTAAAATTTTTAACTAGTTAATTGCTTCTGGTAAAAATAAAACCAAAGAAAATTTGGTTTTGATTTATTATATTTAAATGTGATATAAATGTCAGATGCAAATTATCAGTATTCTATATTATTACCATGTTTAACATTAAATCCAGTGATAATATATATATAACATAAAATTCATTTTTTAATTATTTGCATGAAGTTAGTTAACAGAGATGTCTGTTATTGAATGACAGTATTTTGTTGTTTGTTTTGTGAGAAAAGCTCAATTTTAGAAATAATACTTTATATTGATAAAATAATATACAACACAAATAAATACTTGATAGTTCATAAATTACAACATATCAATGTGTTACAGTTTTAACACTTAAAACTTTATTAGAATCAGATAATAAAGTTACATGGCAAAAGATGTCATTTCTGACAAAGCATGATGAACTACAGGTAATATTTTTAGCAATGGGAAACAAAGTTTGAAAGGAGATCTGTGACTTTATCAAAATTATTATTGTTTGAAATGATTAACAGGTCAGTTTTTACGCACAACTAGCACGCGATTCATTAAAAACAGATTCCGTTCTGCCTAGTTCTGTCAAGTTTCGTCATATCAAGTCAATATACGATTCTTCTACTCAAATTGTGAATGAGCTTGGTACTACGGACGTAGCAGTTGGGGTATGTGTAGATACAGTGCCGTTTATTTTAATTTTGCACTTACACAATTATATATGTTACACTTTAACAATAATTTATTCAGTTAAAATTACACTGTTCTGTGCAATATATATATATACAGGATGCAACCGCAGAGATTATGGTGACAACACTTGGAAAAATTCCAAACGAAATGTATTACTTGGAAGATACAACACATGGAAGAATTGCGGCAATTTACAATACCGAATCACACACAATACTCGACAACAGTCACATTACAACGACTACAATTGAAGCTGTTAAATCTGACGTTTACACAGATCACTCCACGTTGCTTGTTATTTTGTTAATTGTGCTCCTAATCATATTAATGATATGCTGCATCACGGCGTGCATAATTGCGAGATCCAGAAGCAAATATCCTTCCTTCTTCACAAGAAGTGACATCGAGTGCAGTCCGAGATGTAGCGGTGTGAACCAGCCTTTGCTAAGCTTAGACAAAAATTCAGATACAACCACCAAGACCAGCAGTGGTTCCACAAACAATTGAAGAGATGTAAGTGTCTCTGGTGTTGTTGAGAGAACGCTCGCGAAATATATTCACATTTCGCGACACTTCAAATTGATTGAAAATCCATCGATCTGCGTCATGTAACACTATAGCATGCTAATTCCTAACCTCGAAATAATCGCACACGGCTTACCAGGTTTGACCGGAGTCGCCGTGGAAGCGGGTGTGGTGCCGAAAGCGAACGTGGGTGCGGGTGTCGATGTAGACGTTCCGAAGCCGCTGCCGAACGACATCCTTACTTTTAATAATTTCACTATGTAATTAAAACACCGACTACTCGCGCGACTTGCAGCCAGTGTTCCCAACTTTTCAGAGTTAAATTATGTTGTCAGGGGCGTACAATTATAGTACGGGCCCAAAATTTTTATAGTACATTGCCGAAATGTGTTTAATGTCATAAAATTGTTTAATAATATTGTAAAAATAGTAATAAAAGATGACTTTAACTTTTTTTAAATATATTAGCGTCATGTAGTGTCATAAAAAAAATTTTTTTAACAATTTATATACTTATGTTATACATAACAATATTTGTGGACCTAGAAAATATATAAATTTAAAAATTACAGATAAATAACTTATTAAAAAATAAAATAACTAATATAAATTAAAAATAATTAAAAAATTTACTTATTTAAATTAGTCATTAAGTAAAAGTTTTTAATACTTTTAACAATACATAATAATTTTTCCATATATTTAAACATTATGTGTTTCATATATCTCAAACATTATGTACACATAATAACAGTATCATCATCATTGTTATCACATTCTTTAGTAGAACATCGAGAAAGTGGGTTTTTATCCAGTTTCGGATAAAGTATTGCTGTGGTCATTCGATTTAATTCTAATTTCGTTGGTTCATAATTTACACAGTCCGTTCTAATTCACTGACTAGATAAAAGTAGTTCGTTTACAGTTATAACAAGCTTATTTCTAATTTTGATTTTAGTTAAATTTACTAAAAATACACTCGCAATCTGCGTTAGAGTACGAAAGAGATAGTACGTCTAAAGCAACTTTTGACAAATTTTTAAGTTCTGTTAAATTTTGGTCTCCTGAAGTGCTATTTAGTAATTTATGTCAAAATACATCAGCATGATCAAGTAAACTTATATTAGGAGGACGCTCAACAATTGCTAAGCGCTGATTTCTGCTAAACGCAGTCATTGACCATGTTCAGCAGACTGAGCAGATCAGTGAGCGCTTAAGCTGGGTATACACCTAGCGAACGAACGCCGAATGAACAGCGAGCGCAAACGTTTGTTATTATCATTCGTCAGATGTATACGCCAAAACAAATGCCTCATGAGGGAACCAAACCAAATGCGAATCAAATGTTCTGTTCGCATTTGTTTTGGCGTATAAATCTGACGAATGATAATAACAAACGTTTGCGCTCGCTGTTCGTTTGGCGTTCGTTCGCTAGGTGTATACCCAGCTTTAGTGATTCTTCAATATGATTGGTTTCTACACTTAGATCCATTTAAGATCTAAAGGCAAGATTCAATCATATTAAAGAATCACCAAGCGATCACTGATCTGCTCAGTCTGCTGAACGTGGCCATTCTTTACTTTTCGTTGTTCTTTTGTCTTGGACTGTACTCGTATAAATTTCAACCAATCAGCGACGACGAGACAAAGCAGAGATCCTAGTGTGATGCTCTCTATAGAGCCGTCTACAATGGAGAGTTGTAGGCCGTAATAGTAAGAAATTGACCAATCACAGACAAAGTACAGAAGAATAATCGATTGTGATTTGTCAATTTCTTACTGTTACGGCCTACAACTCCCCATTGTAGACGGCTCTTTAAGGGTCGTTTACAATGGAGAGTTTTAGACCGTAACAGTAAGAAATTGACAAATCACAATCGATTATTCTTCTGTACTTTGTTTGTGATTGGTCAATTTCTTACTATTACGGCCTACAACTCTCCATTGTAGACGGCTCTTTACGGAGATTCATGTGCGATGGCCTTAATGGCTGTAATGGATCATTGAACGCGCGAGACGAGAACTGCTGGCGAGACGCCGATCGGACGCTAGTGAGTTAGTGAGTCGAGTCGCCGTGGGTTCAATTTAGTCCAAGTTGCTGTTTAAGATTGGCGAAAATTTATACTCAGAAACCATTTTGTTTGCGAGACACGCGAGGCGAATTTATCTCGCATGCAGTAGTCAAGTATGATTAGTTCCCTGAAGTCGAAGGCGTTTGATCGTCGCACGCAAGACCAACTAAGAGGTTTCACGTAAGTTTGTTTTTATGTTTACTCAGCTACTTTGCTTGAAATCGTGTTATCTTAAACTTTCATTTATGTAAGTATATCGCAAGAATTCAACAACACACAAAAGACAAAAGCAGAACTTATAAGGGGCGCTTTCCAGCTACGTACACAAGTGTTACACAGTGTCGCCTGTGTACGTAGCTGGAAAGCACCCAAGATGAATTACTTTTTGTCCGCGTCATATATTTTAGGTTAGACTTTTTCTAACGTAATTCTCGCAGGACGCGACAGCAGATATTCCTTTGTAAAATGAATTAGAGTATTTGACCATACGTTTTTGTTTAACTGCACATTTTATAGTATTTATTATTATATTAAGCCGTGTTGAGATTAGCCTTACGTGATTTGCCGGGTTGCGGATTGACCAATCGGAACAAAGCAGCAAATAATAAAATTGTTCAAATGCTTTTATCAACTTTTTGAAAAATTAAACTCATCGAAAAGTTATATTTAACAGTTATATTTAGTTTCTTGTTAAAAGTGTCGAAAATATCACCGCTAGTAGTGTTTTATACTTATAAAAGTGTGTGTGTTTATTTTTATTTTTTTAATGCTATTCATCGGTGCGATAACATTCGATAAACGAACAAGTTTATTGTCGCAAAATATATAAATTGTAAATTAAAATTGTCGTGATTATATGAGATAAAATGTGTGTGTGTGTGCTATCAACATGAATGTAATGGACGTTTTCTTTTGAGCACTCGGTTTCCCGAGAAATGCTTCATACGATACGGTCTGTTGACTTCAATCACGATAGGTTTTTATAGAAAACATTGGCCACATAGTTGAGTTTGTGTATCTATGCGCTTTGTGATCGACTTATATCGTAACTAATAATAAATCGTCTTATAAGAACCGTAACGACGTTGACTAGATTGTTTCATCTATAGTTCGCGTTTTAATTTTCAATATCTATATTAAAACGATTAAAAATAACTATATACATAAACATTTTATATATATTATACATATACAATTTTATATTTACATATATCAATGTATATATTTCTATAAAGGCAGTTATATATGCCCTGGTATAAAATTAACTTATCTATCTTAATCCTTCGCAGACAGACATGTGAGTCTCTCAAACTCAAAAAAGATTGCGAATCGGCGTTTCTAGTAAAAATTAGTTGTTTTTAAACGCTAATGGCCTAATTTACACCGTACATCTTTTTGGTACGCGAATCAAATAAAATTTGTTTTTCATTGTATAATTCTGGTGTTTACATTATTATAAATGTATTTGATACGCGTACCATTTTGATACGATAGGCGTGAAGAAGGCGTACCAGCAATATGATATTGTTTACATTGTTGAAATGCCCAAGCCGATTTAATACAAATATAGTATTAATACGCGTATTAAGCGATCGGTGTAAACTAGGCGTATATTTTCGGAACAACTAGAGATTTTTTAATGTTTTTTTTTATTGATGCGGAATTGTTTAAAAACTTTTGATACAAAAACAACAAAATTGAAAAAATATCGTATTTTCGCGGATACATTTAATTTTAAAGTCGCGTGAATCTAGCAGACTCAGTCTGTCCAACTAGTAGGCATTAGTAGGCATTTTTAGAAGTCGGTCCGCGAAGGATTAAGAACTGGCTTTATCACTTAGAAAAATTTTTTTTATAAAAAGATATTTCTGTTTGTATCATTGTGTTAAACATTGGATACATAAAAACGATAATATAAATTACTAAATTCTAGATTTGTCTTGCTGACCCAGTTCATCAGGTTCGAGGATACGCCGTATTTTAATTTATTTAGCCATTTTTACTTTGTCTCGCAAAGAAACGTGAATATTTAACGTGTGTGCTTGAGGAGGTGCTAAATCAGTGAGATTAAACTGCGCTAGTTGCAATTAGGTTATCGGGGATGTCCTGACCCTGACTATACGCACAGCCAAGACACCGAAGACTTTTCTCATCGCAGAATAAAGTGATCGCATCCTGGATAGATGCCATCGAAGAGAGATCTAAATAGAACTATCCGTCGGTAAAACTAAGACGATTACTACTCGGTGGCTACTATAAATTTCATTTTCATCGTGAGCTATCGCGCGACGGATTTTATTAACTGACGGATGAAGAGTCGCGAAAAACATAGTATCGCATAGTATGGCGGAAGCGTAAAAAACTTTCTGTAAGAAATTCGAGCAAATTTTTATCATAAATGTAATATTTCTATCCGCGTGACAGAAAAAAATATAAAATTTACATACCGATATGTAGATTTTATATTTTATCGTCAATAAAAATTATATTTTAATGTTTTAATAATTTCTCGTTTCTTTCCATATTTTTATAAAAAGATATTTTTAGTAATGTGCATCGCGTTAAAACAAAAGTGAGCAAATGTTAAAACAAACGCGAGGCGAATTCGGGCTGATTTGCGCACACGTTTGACACATGATCGCGTCGGCGATCGTCGGCCGATCTCGGCCGCGCTCGATGTCGTATCGCTCGCCGGCTCGCGCTAATCGGTTTCGCCGCGCTCGTTCGTCAACCAGTTGTCCTACGCGTGAGGTTTGTTCTGGCACATGCGTGCGTGCGCGTCTCAATTTCTGTACACGCGACAGTGCCGGAATCTGTCTTATGTGATTTCTTCTCGTGGTCTCTACCCGGACCCGATGATGCGATAATTCGCGCGAGAAGAAAAACGCGTACCGAGAAAAAAACGTCAAACCGGTATTGATTCTCGTGACGTGACTGCGACCTTCCGTATCACTATGCATCTAAAACTGGTAATTTTCAATAAATATATTATTCAATAAACGTTTTGTTAAAAAAAAAAAAACATTTTAAAAACATTTAAAAAATTTTGTTTATATTTTCTTGCTTTGAATTTTTTTAGTTCGTTATGTCAGTGATTACTGGTTTGTAATGATTTTTGCGCTGTTGTTAGTTATGAATACCATCACGACGGAGGATGGTACCGACTTTTCTACGAAGCGATCATTTTTTATACGTCGTTGTCATCGCAGCCAGCCAGTTTGCTTGTGTGCGTTAATCGAGATTTAATTTTATACGTGCGAGCGCAATCTCATGAGAGAGATCATCGTACATGATGTATCTCTGATTTCTCTTAATATTTTTGATATTTACACGTATTTTGGTGTTAGCGCGATGTAATCATTAGCAACGCACGTGT